TATTATAATTTTTCATCCTTTGTTTTTATTTCCTCAATTTTCAAGTTCCTTATTTTTATTTTTCATCTTCCAGATTTTTTAATTTTCATTTTCTTGTTTTAATCTTTGTTGTTTTTTTTTTTTTGTTAATATAAATAGTTTTCTTTCAACAACAGGATAGTTAACTTGTATTCAGTTTCTTGTTGCCAAGAAAGACTTCGTATACTAAGAAAAAATTGACAAAATATGAGCCCCGCCCACCCACCCCGTCTCAATTGTGGTGAATTTTTTATTCATCGTGCGCTGATGGGCGGAGCTTATTTGCAAAATTGTCATTTCTTTACATGAAATTACGATATGAATTATGTTTTCAAAAGGGTAGAATTTTCGATGTTACAATTAAACTCCGCCCCTCGGTCTGATTAGGAATGAAAAACTCATCACAATTGAGATCGGGGCGGGTGGGTGGGGCTTAGCCTTTGTTTCTTTCAACAACAGGATAGTTAACAGTTACTTGTTGCCAAAAAAGACTTCGTATATGAATTATATTTTTAAAAGGGTAGAATTTTCTAGAGAAATTTTAATGTTACAATTATTCAATTTCACGGTTGCAAGTTTTTCAGTTTATCGTTTATTGAAATTTTCGCGTTGAAATTTTTCAATTTTCCAATTTTTCGATATTATAATTTTTCATTCTTCGTTTTTTGTTCGTTCAAGTTCCTTATTTTTATTTTTCATCTTCCCGATTTTTTAATTTTTGATTTTCTTGTTTTATTGTTTTTTTTTAATATATGTGTATAGTTTTCTTTCAACAACAGGATAGTTAACATGTTTTCTATTACTTGCTGCTAAAAAAAGATTCTGTATGTTAAGAAAAAATGGTACAAAATATAAGCCCCGCCCACCCACCCCTTCTCAATTCTGATGAATTTTTTATTCATCGTGAGCTGAAGGGCGGAGCTTATTTGCAAAATTCTCATTTCTTTACACGAAATTACCATGTGAATTATGTTTTTAAAAGGGTAGAATTTTCTAGAGAAATTTTAATGTTACAATTAAAGTCCACTTGGGGCTTAATCTTTTTCTTTTTTCTTTATGTACATAGTATTCTTTCAACAATTTTTTGGCACCAAGAACAAGAGATATTATAATAAAAAACAGTGTCAAAATGTAATAATTTTTTTCGAAAAACTGAAGAAATGAAGAATTGAAAAATAAAAAATCGGAAAATCGAAAAGGAAACACATTGAAAATTCGGATATCGAAAATTCGATGAATAAAATATGTATTCGAAAAGCGAAAATCGGAAAACCGAAAATTCCAAAATGTATAAATCGAGATTTCGAATAATCGAAAATCCCAACATCGAAAAGTCGAAAAATTAAAAATCGAGAAATTGAAATTTAAAAACTGAAAACTTGAATATCGAAATTTCGAAAACTGAAAATTTGAAAAATTGAAAATTGGAAATGTCAAAAATCGAAAAGTCAAAATGATTCTTCAATATTTAATTCGCTTTCCATAAACCGAACCTACTTTTTCAATTTTTCAATTTCATAGTTGCATATTTTTCAATTTTGCAATTTTTCGATGTTATAATTTTTCATTCTTCGCGTCTTCTTTATTTTATTATTATCTAACTTTTGGATTTTTCAATTATCCAATTTTCATCACTCATCATACTTGGGATCGGGGGGCTGGGTGGGATTTAATCTTTGTTGTTTTTCTTAATATATATAATATATAGTTTTCTTTCAACACCAGGATAGTTAACATGTTTTCAGTTTATTGTTGGCAAAAAAATCGTATATTAAGAAAAAATTGAGAAAATATTAGCCCCGCCCACCCACCCCATCTCAATTGTGACGAATTTTTTATTCATTGTGAGTTTAGTTGTAAAATTCTCATTTCTCTACAAGAATTTACCTTATGTTTTTAAAAGGGTAGAATTTTCTAGAGAAATCTATATTAATACCCGCTAAGATAAGACTGATTTTGGCAAATGAGATGTCCTCTAAGAATAGAGAGGGTGGGTGGGCGGGGCTAGTTGCTGCAAAAATAAGACTGATTTTGGCAAATGACATACACTCTAAGAAAAGAGAGGGCTGGTGGGCTAGTACCTGTTAAGACTGATTTTGGCAAATGACATATTCTCTAAATAAAACAAGGGTGGGTGGGCGGGGGTTGTACCTTCTAAGATAAGACTGATTTTGGCAAATGAGAGATCCCGATTCGATGAATCGAGAACTCGAGAAATCAAAAAAGTCGAGAAATAAAAAAATTGAAAAGTCGAAAAACTGAAGAATGAAAATTCAAGAAATCGAAAAGTACAAAGAGTGAAAATTCGAATAACGAGAATCGAAAATTCGAGAAATCAAAAAATCGAAAAGTAAAAAAGTTGAAAAATCTAAAACTGAAGAATGGAAAATTGAAAAATCGGAATATCTAAAAGGAAACAGTTCTCAAAATTCAAATATGGAACACTCGATGAATCAAACATTCGAAAAGTAAAAAAGTTGAAAAATTGAAAATCTGAAGAGTGGAAAAATTGAAAAATGAAAAATCTGGAAATCGAAAAGGAAATATTGAAAATTCGGATATGAAATATGTATTCGAAAAGCGAAAATCGGAAAACCGAAAATTCGAAAATCGAGAAATTGAAAAATTTAAAAACAGAAAACTAGGATATCGAAAAATCGAAATTTCGAAAACTGAAAATTTGAAAAATTGAAAATTGGAAATGTCAAAAATCGAAAAGACAAAATTAGTATTTATATTGATTATTGTATATTATTTAATAATTTTGGACTGTACTTCTTCAATATTTAATTCGCTTTCCATAAACGGAGCATACTTTTTCAATTTCATGCTTGCAAAATTTTCAGTTTATCCTTTATTGAAATTTTCGTGTTGAAATTTTTCAATTATGCAATTTTTCGATATTATAATTTTTCATTCTTCGTTTTTTGTTTCCTCAATTTTCAAGTTCCTTATTTTTATTTTATATCTTCCCGATTTTTTAATTTTCATTTTCTTGTTTTAATCTTTATTGTTTTTTTTGAATATATGTTTACAGTTTTCTTTCAACAACAGGATAGTTAACGTGTTTTCAGTTACTTATTGCCAAAAAAGACTTCATATATTAAGAAAAAATGGACAAAATATAAGCCCCTCCCACCCACCCCTTCTCAATTCTGATGAATTTTTTTTTCATCGTGAGCTGAAGGACGGAGCTTATTTGCAAAATTCTCATTTCTCTACACGAAATTACCATATGAATTATGTTTCAACAATCTTTTGGCACAAAGAACAAGAGATATTATAATAAAAAACATAGTGTTAACATATTATAATAATTTTCCTCTAAAAACTCAAGAAATGAAAAACTGAAAAATGTAAAAATTAAAAAATTAAAAATTGAAAATTCATGAAATTACAAATGGAAAAACTGCAAAACCTAAAAAATAAATTGAAAAATTGCAATTGGAAAAATTGACGAAACGAAAAATTGAAAAAAAGTGTAATTGAAAAAATAAAAAAATATGAAAACGGAACATTGAAAAATTGAACAATTGTAAAAGTAAAGAAAATAAAACTGAAACGAAAAATTGCAAAATCTATAAACTGAAAAATTCAAAACTTGAAATCGATAAAATGAAACAAAAAATGGAAGATTGATTTTTTTAATTTCGTCATTCCAGTTTTTTCTAGAACCGACGAACTGATACGTCCCAACTTAAAAAAAGTTCCAACAATTTAATCTACAATTGAACATTAAATTAATTTGATTGTTACTATCTGCTTTTACACTTCGAATGGCAGCATCGTGAAAACCATGTAAGAAGTTACATCAGAATTCAATGGTGGTAATCACTAATCGCGACAAACCCAAACAAAGTGTTAATAATGAGAATTAATCTCCTACTAATACCATTTTACGGTTGTTGACCACTACAGTGAGACTGGCGATAACAGATTCTGGTTTAAAAAAAAATATGTATCGTTTTAATTATATAATGATATTTTTTCGCAAAGTCATCCGTGACACCTATCACAGGTGTCATTTGCAAGCTTTCCTCGCCAAATTTGTGAATCTAGTCGGAAGCTTTTTCTAAAACGAAAGAAGAAGTTTCATTTATATTTACTCGTTTGTGAACTAGTTTGCAAAACTTATTTACACTGTCGCATTAAGAACATACAATATTGTTTATAATAATTATAATAAATACCTATTAATATTTCTACAAGGTAAAATGATTCATGACAAATAAAAAGAAACAAGAAAATTTTGTCATGATTTGTTTTTTTTCGGTTTTTTATTGCATAATTATCACCATGCGATTGACATCTTGGGCAACAGAATCCAACACTTTCATAATATTTATTTCTGTTGTTTACCAGTTAAAAAATGCAATACATTTCATCATGTTTTTTAAACGCTTTTTTAATAAATTAGAAACTTTCAGCAATACCTGGAAGACCATTACAACCAACCACGTCTATTTATATAGACCGACATACCAGCAATTCGTTTTTACTAAAAAAAAAAGAAAAAAATAGATTCCTAAATAGTTCTTACAAAATATAGTAGTTTCAAGAAGCTCAGATAGTTTTATTTTAAATTTGTTGAATTAAGTAATTTATAAATGCAAATTCCACAACTCAAATTGGTCCTAACTTTTCTTGACTATTTGTTTGTTATATAATTACAATAAAATACTAGCAAAAACAAATTTATCTCCTCATAATTATAATGTTTATCACAAAATATAGGTCCGTCCTATCGCCCTAAAAAAATGCCCCCGATGTGCCACGAACAAATAGATAACTCCATCAGACATTTTTTATTATTGTCGATATCTTCACCAGATACCATTTTGAACTCCTCTACAATTATTCCAAAGTGTTAAAAAACAACATATTTTTACTACAATCACTAATCAATTAAGTGTACAATAAACAAGGGTAAACCACCTTTGACATGATACAAACGCGATTAAATCCAATATAAAAGCCCCACAAACTTCATCGTAGTCACATCAGACTCAGCCAACAAGTCAAGATGAAGTTTCTCCTCCTGGCCAGCTTTGTACTCTTCTGCACTGCTTCCACAGTGTACAGATCCAGAAACATCTCCGTCAACGACGATGGCAACATCGTGATCACCTCGCCAACCGGTCGCCGCGTGGTCATCTCGAGAGAACTTGGACCCAGTGGACAGAAGAACATCGACATCGCCATCTCCGGCCCCAACATCCCGACCAAGAGGATCCAAGTCAACGACAACAATCTTGAAGAGGGCGTAATTGGAGGTAACCCACAATGGTCGTCGCTTGACAGTTTGGGCGAAGAGTCCAGGCTGAAGAGAGGATCGTTCAAGGGGAAGAGCCAAGGAGACGTTCTTTCCGAGATCCTGAAGGAATACCAAGGGGTCGTTGACGAAACCCAGTACGAGAAACTTCTGACCAGGATCAACAAAGCTGTGAGGAAGGGTGAAATCAGTCCCCAGGTTTACGATTTATTGGAAGGGCTTGAACAACAACAGTATGGGCAGCAGTTGGTTCAAGGACAGTATGGTCAACAGTACGTTCAAGGGCAATATGGGTATGGTCCTCGTTATGGTGGGTATGCGTACTCTGCTGGTTTCCCGCAAGGACAGTACCAGGGCTACCAAGGTCCAATTGCTTCCTACTTGTATGGTCAATATTTGGGTTACACTCCCAACGTCAGCCCCTTCTTGCAGTGGATTTTGCCCTACACCCAAGGCAGCTACTATGGCTTGTTGGCTAACCAGCAGTTGAACGGTGGAGTGCAGTCGTTTTTGAACAGATTGGGCTACCAGGGTGTGTCTAGGTAATTAGTTTTCCAATTTTACCCATCAAGATTTTTAATTATTTTTTAATTGTTAGTGGTGTCGGAAACAGCGCTCTTTTGAGACAAATCCTGGGTTATCAACAGACTCCTTATGGCCAAAGCCAGTCCGGAGTTCCCTATGGTGTTCAACAAACCATTGCACAACTCAGTGGCTACCCACAAATCGAGCAATACAACGATGTCGAGCAAACAATTCAACAATTAGCTCAAGTACAACAACAACTGCAACAACAACAACAGATCACCCAACAATACCTCGTCCAACAGGCAATCGAACTGCTCGTTCAAGTACAACAGCAACAACAACAAGTCGGTCAATCAACCGGAGTTCAACAAACAGTGGAGGCCATTCAGATCTTGAACCAAGTTCAACAACAAGTCCAACAACAACAATGGGTCGGACTTTTGCCCAGAATCCAACAAGCTATTCAGATTATTGAACAGCTGTACGAACTCCAGCAACAACTTCCCCAACAAGCTCAAATCGGTCAACTTACTGAACTCCGTCAGGTGATTCAGTCCGTGTACGAAATCCAGCAGCTGCAACAACAACAACAGCAAATCGCTCAGTTCGTGCAACAGTTGATTCAGATTCAACAGCAACAAGGCGTCGGCCAGCTCACCGGATTGGGTCAACCTTTGTCCCAGTTGTACCAACAACAGCAACAAATCGCTCAGCTCATCGCTCAGGTGAATCAAATCCAGCAGCAACAGCAAGGATACGGACAACTGGTAGGCTTCCGCCAGCCCCTTGTACAGTTGTACGGACAACAACAACAGCAAATCGCTCAACTCATTGAACAGTTGAACCAGATCCAGCAACAACAAGGAATTGGAGGAGTTGTGGGTTTAACCACCGTGCAACCACAGCAACCAATTGCCCAACTTGCCCAGCAGTTGATCCAAGGCCAACAACAACAGCAAGGTATTGGAGGAGTTGTAGGCTTGACCACTGTGCAGCCAGTTGGACAGCAGCAGTTGTTGAATCAGATTCAGCAACAGCAGTTGAACCAGATTCAGCAGCAGCAGCCAATTGCCCAACTTGTTCAGCAGTTGGCCCAAGGTCAACAGCAAGGAATTGGAGGAGTTGTGGGTTTAGGTTATGTACAGCAGCCGGTCGGGCAGTACAGAAGTGTTCCTTTGACTCTGCAGCAGCTGATTGGAGTTCCACAAAGCAGACTTGGAGGTTACCAGCCAACATACAGAGGTGGGTTCAGTGTTTTATTTTAAAATTGTTGTTACAATGTTTTTGTTGATAGGTTATGGACAAGGTTACCGCACTGTTCAGCCTGCTTACGTTCAAGGGGGTTACCTCAACACTGTTCCACAAGTACAAGTTGTATATTGACCTGTAGGAATTTATGTTTGATCTGTAATGTGAAATGGTTTTTATAATGTAAAAAAAAGGCATTGGTTTTGGGAATAAACGAGTGAATAGTATAACCTGTTTTTTTGTATTGCAATTATGTCACAAATAAGAGTTGAACTTTGAAAATTTGGTCAGCGTAACATGAAAGCGGCAGTGCAAGTCACTAATTCTCCATTTACATACTATTTAAATAAATTTGCTTTTAAAGTATTTGCAGGTGCAAATATTGACTCATCCATTAAAAAAAATCTCGCTTCTTAGTAGTTATAAATAAATTTGAAAACTATTGATCGTTATTTAGTTCTATTTTTTTAAATCATAAATAGTGGTCATTTCAAAGTTTTGACCTTCGGTACACACTATAGTTAACTACATACTTCATCACTTAAAGAGAAAAGCATATCAATATTGCTTTGTTTGAGCAACTTAATGAGTAAAAAAATTTCCAATGATGTGGAGACAATATCCCGAGAAGACAATATCCTATTGTTATATAAGGAGGCAAGAGAAATGTATTTAGCCATCAAGGTCTTAAAGTACGACATCATTCGTTGAATAAATAGGATTGCCAATGGAATCCCCTGTTCCAAACAATAGAGTTCACACAACGTCTAATACGGTAACTAAATTAATGTTAAAAGCTTGATCATTATCACAACTAGATGACCTAATGCATTTATACACAAAAAAGTTAAAAGAAGGAATTTTACTTAATGCGTTAATACATTTAATAAAGATAATGACCTGAAATAATAAATAATATTTATTATTGTTCGTTAGTAAGCGAAACCTTTATTTCATTTTTTTAGAATTTTCACAACAATTCCTATCGAAGTCGTGTAAAATTAATCTCACATTTAGTTAAATACTTCCGGTTTGTTTTCTAGACGAATGAGCGTCAGACACCGATAACTAGAGTCCCTCTATGTTGTGTTAAGATTAACAAATAACTAGACCTTATCACAAACCCCCGTTAGGTAACAAAGAAACAACGGAACCGGCACTAAAATTAATCGTTTTTTAATAGCCCAAACTCCGTCATCCACTCGCCCATCGAAATATCCGCCTGTCCACCTCTGTTACATAATACCATAAATCATCCCAAGCACTCATCTCTGCATCATTGTCCCGCGTTATTTTCATTTCAGACCGGAGGTAAATACAATTTCCAGCAAATTAACGCGGTATTCACTGTTTGCAAACCAAACACAGTTTAAATACCTTGAGTCTGTAACGTTGAAACCAGTTTAGCGCCGAAGTTCTTGCTGTCAAGTCCTCAAAATGAAAGTCTCATTACTATCGTTCGTGTCATTAACAAACCTCTTCATTACCGTGCGCAGTGAAACGTTAACCTGCAAGGTGATCCCTTTCGATACCAAAGACGGGATCTCGGGCACCTGTTGCGTGATTTTTAAAAATTCGTCCAAGGTGCCGTTCCCGCAGGACGAGATTAAGCAGCATATTTTGGCGCAGAAGGACAAGGAGGAGCCGGAAAAAGCCAAAAATGTTGACGAGAAAGTGGTGAATTCTGCGCAGGGAGAAAGGGCGAAGAGTGACGACGAGAAATTGGTGTTCAATCAAGGTGTAAATGGAACGCTGCAAGGGAAGAGGGCTGATGAGAAGAGGAATAGGACGGAAGTGCCGAAGAATTTTACCATCAATACCAAGAACGCTTTCGATGTGCCCAAGGGGTGTCCTGAAGGGCAGAGGATGGACCATACTGGTGCGTGCACGGAGCCGTTCTAAATTCCAAAATCGGACTGAAGAGGAAGTACTGCGTCAGGAGTCATGACTTTGAAAACGAATGTTTGTGGTTAGATCTTATCAAGTGTTTGAAATTTATTAAAATGTGCGTTGAATACGGCGTTGTAAATTTCAATTATCATTATTTAAATGTAATAAATAATAATTAAGGCAAAGCGTTCGTTCTTTTCGTCAATGTTAAAAAATGAGTGAAAAGTGCGTCAATTATTATAAATAAAATGAAACAACGACGTTTAGCAGGTGTACTTTACTCAACATGTGACTTCCACACGAAATAATAGGGACAGTTTTCACGTAGGATTTTCTTTCTTCGTAAACACATGACCGCACGTCTGCCGTCCTGAATTTTAACTATGTTTGTATCACGTGCTACATAAAAAGGCACTTTGTGACGTATTTCAGGATGAGCGAACAAGTGTTTCCTGTTTATTTTTCAGTTTACAAGGTTTGGAAACAAATTAGTTTTGTTTTAATTTTCTGCTACAACACAAAGAGGAGACAATAATTAACAAAATTTGTTGATAATTTGATTTTTTGACACAAATTCACGAAAGTTGGTAGAATGAAAACGGAAATTGCGCTTTTTTGTATTCTGTGGGCTGGCAAAATCCGTGAACACCAGCTCAGCTGTCATAAATTAATATCAAAATTATTAATAAATGACAAAATGTGTAGAAAGAAACAAAAAAAGAAACAAACATACAACCGTCAATTCAGGTCATGTCAAGTCAGGTCTTGTTAAGTCAGGTCATTTGCATTTAATTAAATATAATGTTAAAAATGTTACCCTAATTTCTGTTGTTTATTATTCACTTTACTTCTTTTACAACGTTTCGATGGTAAATTACTAATGTTAAGTTTTTCCTAAACTTCGGATTCGTAATTACCAGAAGCTTATCTATAATTTGACACCAAATTTCAGTCGATTGAACTCTTTAATTGCTTGCCTAAAGACTCTGTAGACAAAAAGTGCACTTAGCCCCGCCCAATTCCTTCCTTAATTTCACTAATTTAATATTTGATTTAGTGTATAATAGGAGTTAAATTGAGATTTAAAACAAAGACAAAAGTAGCCCCACCCACCCACCCCTACTTCGTTTTGATGACTCATTTGATTGGTTGTGACACAGAAGTTGAATTTTATATCAGCAAATAATACAATCTGGAACTACATTTTTTTTAATAAAATTTTAATTGTTATACGAAAAACGACTGCCGTATCATATGAGGTACAAGTGTAAACGCTATCCCTTTTCTTCACACCAATGGAATGATTTAATAAGGAGGAGCTTCTGCTACGGGGAGGAGCATTGGTAATATTGCTTTATAAATATAATTCTCACGTATGATATGCTGATCTAGCACCCACTTAATATTTTCAACAATTTTTTTTACAACTCTTCAACAATTTTTCGGCAAAGATTCAACCCATTTGGCTAAAACTCCAGTAGGATAATAACGTTGTAATTAATTAATAATATTAAGAGTGATCACTAGAATCAAGAGTGGGCGGGTGGGCGGGGCTATTGCTTGCTTAAAATCTCTGTAGTGAAAAGATAAACTTAGCTCCACCCACTTCCTTCCTTTATTTTACTGACTTCAACTTTTATTTTCTGTAAAATAGGAGTTGAATTTTGAATAAACATTACTTAAGAAGATATTTCACATGGTAATTTCTTGTAGAAAAGTAAGGATTTTACAAATAATCTCTGCCCCTCGGCTTACGACAAATAAAAAAATTCATCAGAATTGAGATAGGGCGGGTGGGCGGGGCTTATATTTTCCCTTTTTACTTAATAAATAGCCATCTTTTCACAACAAGAAACTTAAAACATGGTTAATGGTACATTTTGGCAAGGAAATATGGATTTTCCATTTATGGGGCGGCGCCTAATTGCAAAATCGATATTTCCTTATACACATTTTCCATTTTAAACATGTTTTAAGTTTCATGTTATGAAACGAAGTCTGCACATAATACAACAAAAAGGCAAAATGTAAGCCCGCCCACCCGCCCTGTCTCCATTGTGATGATTTTTTTATTGGCTGTGAACCAAGAGGGCGGAGCTTAACTGCAAAATACTTACTTCTTTACAAGAAATTAAAAACATGTTTTCCAGTGTTGTTCAAAGAATACTACGTACATTAAGAATAAAAGGCAAACGAATGAAAATTTCATTACTATTTAGATCAGGGCAGGTATGAGTGGGGTTTAAACTTTGGCTTCAATTTTTGAAACTAATTCTCAGTCGATTGAACTCATGTTGACCATTTTTTCGGAAAAATTTTGAAAATTTTAGCTCATTTTTCACGTTTATTTGAATAGACATCGTGACGGCGTTTCGGATTAGTAATTACCGGAAGCTTATCTATTATTTGACACCAATTTTCAGTCGATTGAACTCTTTAATTGCTTGCTTAAAGACTCTGTAGACAAAAAGTGCACTTAGCTCCGCCCAATTCCTTCCTTAATTTCACTAATTTAATATTTGATTTAGTGTACAATAGGAGTTAAATTGAGTTTTAAAACAAAGTAAAAACTAGCCCCACCCACCTACCCCTACTCAGTTTTGATGACTCATTTTATTGGCCCTGAAACGGAAATGTTAATTTCAATCAGATAATAAAGTTGTCGTTAATTAACAATATTAAAACTGGTCACTAGAATCAAGACCCTGTAGAGAAAAAGGTAAATTTAGCTCCGCCCACTCCCTTTCTTCATTTCACTATCTTAATATTTTATTAATTGTAAAATAGGAATTGAATTCTGAACTGGTAAGCGGTAGAAACGAAAATTTGAAACAAAGACAAAAGTAGCCCCACCCACCGACCCCTACTTCGTTTTGATGACTCATTTGATTGGTTGTGACACAGAAGTTGAATTTTATATCAGCAAATAATACAATCTGGAAATACATTTTTTTTTATAAAATTTTATAGTATACAGGCTACTCCTTTTCTCCGAACCAATGAAATGATTAAATAAGGCGGAGCTTCTGCTAGTGGGAGGAGCATAAGTAATATTATTTTTTGAATATAATTCTCGCATCTGATATGCTGATCTAGCACCCACTTAATATTTTCCACAAAATTTTTTTACAATTCTTCAATACTTTTTCGGCAAAAATTCAAACCATTTGTCTAAGACTCCAGTAGGATAATAACGTTGTAATTAATTAATAATATTAAGAGTGATCACTAGAATTAAGAGTGGGCGGGTGGGCGGGGCTATTGCTTGCTTAAACTCTCTGTAGCGAAAAGATAAACTTAGCTCCACCCACTTCCTTCCTTTATTTTACTGACTTCAACTTTTATTTTCTGTAAAATAGGAGTTGAATTTTGAATAAACAAGAGGTAGAATCTAAGATTAAAAGTTAAAACTAGTCCCACCCACCCCTACTCCGTTTTGATGACTCATTTTATTGGTTGTGACACAGAAGTTGAATTTGATATCAGCAAATAATATAATTTAGAACTACTCTAATTTTGAAAATTTTGGGCTCATTTTTCACACTTATAACACGATTACTTAAGAAGATATTTCACATGGTAATTTCTCGTAGAAAAATAAGGGTTTTACAAATAATCTCTGCCCCTCGGCTTACGACAAATAAAAAAATTCATCAGAATTGAGATAGGGCGGGTGGGCGGGGTTTATATTTTCCCTTTTTACTTAATAAATAGCCATCTTTTCACAACAAGAAATTTAAAACATGGTTAATGGTACATTTTTGCAAGGAAATATGGATTTTGCATTTATGGGGCGGCACCTAATTGCAAAATCGATATTTTCTTATACAAATTTTCCATTTTAATCATGTTTTAAGTTTCATGTTATGAAACGAAGTCTACACCTAATACAACAAAAAGGCAAAATGTAATCCCGCCCACCCGCCCTGTCTCCATTGTGATGATCTTTTTATTCGCCGTGAACCAAGAGGGCGGAGCTTAACTGCAAAATACTTACTTCTTTACAAGAAATTAAAAACATGTTTTTCAGTGTTGTTCAAAGAATACTACGTACATTAAGAATAAAAGGCAAAATATAAACCCCGCCCACCCACCCGATCTCAATTGTGATGACCCCTAGATCTGCCAACGAATGAAAATTTCATTACTATTTAGATCAGGGCAGGTATGAGTGGGGTTTAAACTTTGGCATCAATTTTTGAAACCAATTTTCAGTCAATTGAACTCATTTTGACTTTTTTTTTGGGAAAAATTTTGAAAATTTTAGCTCATTTTTCACGTTTATTTGAATAGATATCGTGACGGCGATTTCGGATTAGTAATTACCGGAAGCTTATCTATAATTTGACACCAATTTTCAGGCGATTAAACTCATTTTGACCAATAAAATAATTAAAGTCATTTTAAAAATACAACCAATAAAATTATGCATTTAATAATAAAGGAGGGAAAACGGAGACCACAGATTTAAGGAAAACGGGAGTGTTGAAAAAACCGCAGTAAAAAACACTGCATGAAATTAAAATATTTAATAAAATAAAAAACGCGTCCTTGAATTAAATTATACAAAAAACGTTAATTTAACGAGTGGCTGCATCGAACCCGTCTATTATGAAACTAGAAATTTTAAAAAGTGATGGTATTAAAATTTTGAATAACCGTTTTATTATATGTTTGGTTTTTCTTCACACTATTCTGTTTGCAAATAACAAACGTTTAAAAAATCCATAAAACTGTTTAATCGCCGGTTGATAGTGCCGCTTCCTACCAATGTCAGCAAGCAATAAATAACCTTCTCTTTATAATCCCCAAAGGTAAAAAATATTTGGTACAACAATGATGTTTATTGTAATTATTCGATCACCGGAAAATTAGGCCATATCCGTGAAATCGTTATAATAATATTATTATTACACGAATTAAAGCGTGCGACGTTACCAAATGTATTTATAGTAAATTTCTTACACAAACTACCTAGGAAATTCCATCGCACTTCTTAATTATGTGAATTATGACTAAGTAAGTACTATCCTGTTCAAGCCTACGCATCCACTCGTATTAAATCTAAAAATACCCACAACCATGTAAAAATTACGATAATTACGAATCCGTCCCTGTCCTTTGTTTACTCGAAAACATAATCCTGAAATAAACTCCGTTATCAGTCAGATTTAAATATCTTCACTCTGCCACGATAATCTTGTTCTGTGCAAATAAATCGTTTTCTCCACACATATCAAATTATTGCGTCGAAAACTGATAACTATCCATTCCCTGTAGATTATGTGGTATCTCGCACGAACAAAAACATGTGTGAAAGTGCAGCTGAAGAAACTCCAATCGATATGAAGTTTTAACAGTGTTTTTACGGCTTCTGGCTTTCGAAGTGCTTCAGCATGGCCGACCCGACTATACAGACCTTTTGCTGCCACCACGGAAATGGCACCGACATGGCGGTGACCATCATGCAAGAATTCAACACCGACGCATACAATGCCGTGTGTATTTTCTCGTCGTGTCTGGGCATACTGGGAGCTGTTTATCAAGTAAGACTTATCAAGTGTTTGTTTGTTTGTAGTAAGGCGGTTGTAGATTTTGCCCAGGCAAGAGTTCTCGAATAGGCATAGGTGGTTGTCGTTTTCGGCCGAACGAGGTAGAAAAATTATAGTGTGGTTGGCAATCGCGGATTTGTTGGCTTCTTTAGGTACGTTATGGTTATGTCACGTTCTGGCTGATTAACCAACCATCTGAAATAATCTTAGGAGTATTTACAAGGTCGACGATATGGATGAATTACAAAAACATTATGCCGGCTGTCGAGGATGACTCCAGTGTCGTATTTTGTGCCATTTCTTCCGTAAGCGGCCTTGACTTTCTCGGCTTTTTATCTACTGAGTTAATTTTAGGCTTTGATTCAATACTTCTATACAGCGACGTGGATATGGACTTTAATTTATGCCATCGATATGAGGTTTATTTTGAGCGAGCAGGCTTCCAGGACCACCTATTACCACCTGGTGGCTTGGATTTTACCAGCGATTTTAACCGCAACGGGTTTATCCTTGCTGTACCTTCCGGATGCCAAGTAATATGGTCGTTTTTGAGAACCAACCAAGACATTTTGTGTTGTAGTTGCCACACTACCACGTCTTTGAAAACCGCAGTCGTACGAATATTACCCAATTATGTGGCTACGTATGTACCTATAGCGACCGTAATGATCGCCAATCCGTGTCTGTACCACAAGTCCTCGAGAGACATGGAGCAAATAATAACCAGTGCCTCTGGTCAATTCACCAGTAGAGAAAGAGAAATTCTAGACGCAATCAAAGTCAAATTTTCTGTGATAAATTTCGTGTTTTATTTGTGTTGGATTCCAAACTTACTTAACGGTATTTTGCTATGGACGCTGTGGTTCCACTTGCCGGCGGAATGGATCATAGCAATCTGGTACATTATGGTAAAGAGATTTGATTTGTCTAGGTTGTCGATTTACGTTGCTGTTCGCCATTAACGTTGCCGTTGGGGTACTTTTCACAACAAGGAAGGTAAAACATGTTTAAAATGGTAAATTTTGTAAGAAAGTATCGATTTTGTAATTAGGCTCCGCCTCTCGGTCTGACAACGAATGAAAATTCATCACAATCGAGCTTGAAATGGATATGGGTGGGACTTAGTTTTTGGCTTGGTTTCTCGATATACATAGTATTCTTTGAACAACACGATACGCAAAAACCATTTTTATTGCACTCTTGGCTCACGACGAATAAAAAAATCATCACAATTGCGATAGGGCGGGTGGGCGGGGCTTATTTTGCCTTTTTTTCTTAATAATATACAAAGCCATCTTTTCACAACAAGAAACTTAAAACATGGTTAAAATGATACATTTTTGCAAGAAAATATGGATTTTGCAAATATGGGGCGGAGCCTAATTGCAAAATCGATATTTCCTTATATAAATTTTCATTTGAAACATGTTTTAAGTAGTGAAAAGAAGTCTACATATATTAAAACAAAAAGGCAAAACGTAAGCCCGCCCACCCACCCTATCTCGATTGTGATGATTTTTTTACTGGCCGTGAACCAAGAGGGCGGAGCTTAACTGCAAAATACTCATTTCTTTACAAGAAATTAAAAACATGTTGAGTGTCGTGTTGTTCAAAGAATCCTATGTACAGAGTCATCGAAATTGATTGAGAGAGTTGGTACTCCCTGTTTTTGCCGTGAAGTTTGTCAACCTTATGACAGATTTGTTTAAGGTTATGTGGCAATGAATTCAGTGGCATGACAAGAGAACTGGGGGTTGATTGTCGAATCAATTCCACGCCCCAAATTCGTCTTGAGTACCACTCCGGAAATGCCATCACTAGAAATGTGTTCTGCTCTACAGACATAGGCATATTAGAAAAATCCAAAATTCGAAACTTCAAATTTGACAACTAATATTTTTTACCAAAAAAAATCGACAAAAGACGCCACTGAGTTTTGAAATTTGAAACTTCAACCTTCAAATCTAGCAGCTAATATTTTTACACAACTTAATAAACCAAATTATTCAAGTTCAGGTTTACCAACTCTCTCAATCAATTTTGATGACTCTGTATATTAAGAAAAAAGGCAAAATATAAACCCCGCCCACCCACCCGATCTCAATTGTGATAATTTTTATATTCTTAGAAACTGAAAACACGATACCCAAAATGTTTTTAATTTCTCGTAGATAAATAAGGATTTTGCAGTTAAGATCCACCCCCTTGATTCATGGCGAATAAAAAAATCACCACAATTGAGATAGGGCGGGTGGGCGGGGCTTATATTTTGCCCATTTTCTTAATATACGTAGTCGTCTTATCAGAACAAGAAACTTAAAACATTTTTGAAATGTTAAATTCTTGTAGAACAACATGGATCTTGTAATTAAGCCCCGCCCCTCGATCTGACAACGAATAAAAATTCATCACAATTGAGAATTGGGAACAGGGCGGGCATGGGTGGGGCGTAATCCTTGGCTTTATTTTTTCTTAATACACATACATAGTTTTCTTTAAATAACACGATACCCAAAAATGTTTTTAATTTCTCGTAGAGAAATAAGGATTTTGCAGTTAAGTTTCACCCCCTTGGCTAACGACGAATAAAAAAAATTATCACAATTGAGTTAGGGTGGGTGGGCGGGGCTTATATTTTGCCCTTTTTTGTTAATATACATAGCCATCTTTTCACAACATGAAACTTAAAACATAGTCAAAATGGTACCTTTTTGCCGATCTAGGGGCGGAGCCTAATTGTAAAATCGATATTTCCTTATACCAATTTTCCATTTTAAACATGTTTTCAGTTTCATGTTGTGAAAACAAGTCTACACATATTAAAACAAAACGACAAAATGTAAGCCCGCCCACCCGCCCTGTCTCGATTCTGATGATTTTTTTATTCGCCGTGAACCAGAAGAGGGCGGAGCGTAACTGCAAAATACTTATTTCTTTACAAGAAATTACAAACATGTTTTTGAGTATCGTGTTGTTCAAAGAATACTATCTATATTAAGAAAAAAAAGCCAAATTATAAACCCCACCCAGCCACCCTCTCTCAAAATTTTTGGTTTTAACTTTTTCTTAATATACATTGTATTCTTTGAATAAGATGATATTCAAAAACATGTCTTACATGGTAATTTTTTGTAGAGAAATAATAACAACATTGAAAAAAATCATCACAATTGAGATAGGGTGGGTGGGCGGGACTTATATTTTGCCTTTTTTCTTAATAAACAACGTTTTCAGAACAAGAAACTTAAAACATATTTGGAATGGTAAATTCTTATAGACAAATATGGATCTTGCAATTAAGCCCCTCCCCTCGATCTGACAACGAATAAAAAATTCATCATAATTGAGAATTAAGTTCGGGTCAGGTATAGGTGGAGCTTAATCTTTGGCTTTATTGTTTTCTTAATATACAGTATGTCCCCGGATTGAGTTCACAAGAGGAAAAAAACTGTATTTTCTATTTTACAAAAAAATGACATAGGAATAACATTTTTTGCTTAATTCAATACGAATAAATCTGCAATTAAAACTTCAGTATTCCTGGTCTGTACTCTTAAAATAAATTTTTTCATATTTCTAAGTTTTCGTTACTTTTAGTTTTTTTTCGATTTTAAGGACACAGCCTGATAATATTAAAATTTTAATTGCAGATTTATTCGTTTTGAATTAAGCAAAAAATGTTATGCCTACGTAATTTTTTTGTAAAATAGAAAATACAGTTTTTTTCCTCTTGTGAACTAAATCCGGGGATATACTGCACATACATAGTTATTTTTTGAACAATACGATATCCAAAATCATATTTTTAATTTCTCGTAGAGAAATAAGAATTTTGCAGTTAAGCTCCGCCCGTTTGGCTCACGATGAATAAAAAAAATCGTCACAATTGAGATAGGGTGGGTGGGCGGGGCTCCATCTTGCCTTTGTTTCTTAATATGTGTAGACTTATTTCGACAACAATAAACTTAAAAAACATGGTCAAAATGGTACATTTTTGCAGACCTAGGGGCGGAGCCTAATTGTAAAAGCGATATTTCCTTATACCAATTTTCCATTTTAAACATGTTTTCAGTTTCATGTTGTGAAAAGAAGTCTCCACCATATATTAACACAAAAATACAAAATGTAAGCCCGCCCACCCGCCCTGTCTCGATCGTGATGATTTTTTTATTCGCCGTGAATCAAGAGGGCGGAGCTTAACTGCAAAATATTTATTTCTTTACAAGAAATTAAAAACATGTTTTGAGTATCGTATTGTTCAAAGAATAATATGTATATTAAGAATAAAAGACAAAATATAAACCCCGCCCACCCACCCCATCTCAATTGCGATGATCTTTTTTATTCATTTTAACGTGTTTTAAGTTTCTAACTTAAAACACGTTGAAAATGATACATTTTTGTAAGGAAATATAGATTTTGCAATTAAATTCCGCCCTCTTGGCTCACGACGAATAAAGAAAAATCATCACAATTGAGATAGGCCGGGTGGGCGGGGCTTATATTTAGTCTTTTTTCTTAATATACGTAGTCATTTTTTCAGAACAAGAAACTTTAAACATGTTTAAAATGGTTAATTCTTGTAGACTAAAATCTTGCAATAAGCCCCGCCTCTCGATCTGACAACGAATGAAAAATTCGTTACAATTGAGAATTGAGATCGGGGCGGGTATGGGTGGGGCCTAATCTTTGGCTTTATTTTTTCTTTGATATACATACACATTATTCTTTAAACAACACAATACCCAAATAGTATATTAAAGAACGAGTTTCATAAGGCAAATATTGAGGCACGAATCCAAGTTTATAGAACGAGCGGCGAAGCCGCGAGTTATATAAAGGATGAGTGCCTCAATGGCCTTATGAACGAGTTATTTATACTATTTTTTCTACCGCACACGTTTTTTCCCAAAATTTAATTGAAATTTACATTTTTTTTAATCTGGGGACTTTTGTCGTGGTTGGTCTGACACTAACCACGAAATATTTGAGGTTCGAATTTTCACAACAACAACTGTAATTCGAATCAATTCGAGTTTTTGTAATTTAAAATTGGTTAAAATGTCTTGCGAAGAAGTTACGCGTCCAGAAACATGGGAAATTTTAAGTTTACATTTGCCACTGACATTCACCTGACATTTCTCGTCATGGCTACCAGTCTTATCGATCTAAATTACACCAGATCTATTAAAGAACGCCTTTCCGCTATTAACGAACTGCTGTGACGTCATTTGCGTGCGTTAATAGCTCTATTAGAAAACCAAAAAACGTGGGCGGTAGAAAAAACATGTTTTAATTTCTCGTAGAGAAATAAGATTTTGGCAGTTAAGCTCCGCCCGTTTGGCTCACGACGAATAAAAAAAATAATCACAATTGAGACAGGGTGGGTGGGCGGGGCTCCATTTTGCCTTTGTTTCTTAGTCTGTGTAGACTTAATTTGACAAGAAGAAACTTAAAACATGGTTAAAATGGTAAAATGGTCAAAGTTACCATCAACGGCAACTAGGCAACGTCAGCGGGAACAGCAACTTCATTAGGAACTTCAACATCAACAGCAAGTTTATAAATCCCACTTAACTAATCGTTGCAGGCTTTAATGAATCCACTCCAAGCTTTATTTAACTGTATGGTCTACAGAAGGTGGAGAAACGGTTCCGAAAAAATAATTCTCCCGTGGCGAAAAATCGAGGGCTGTTATCCCACTGCTCACACCGAACCCAGTCCCAACTCCCTCAGCAACAGCGCCCGTGAGGAAATCCTGCCCTTGTTACGAAACGCCCAAAGCGTCAACGGTTACAGAAATTACTGGTGATTTTTGTAACGAATTGTAATTTAATAAATACAAACTTTCGTAACTTCTTTTATAAATAAATATGTACTAAAAACAATAAATACTTAACTGCAACGAATATAAAGAATTTGGTATGTACAAGTTAATTATTGGTCTCGATCTGTGAAGCGTGTTTGGCTTGGAGTTTTTTTATTTTGGACTTGAGTCCGTTTTCGCGCTCTTTGATCTTAATGGTTTCGGAAACTCGCTCGTTTTCTCTTTTTCGGAACTCCTGAATCCTAAAACAAGTGCAGTCAGTTTAAATCACTCACGATTGAGGATTAGTTACTTTTCCTTCTCCATCCTGATCAACTCCTTTTTAAAAATGTCTTTAAAATCCATGCAGAATGGTAACCATAGTTCGAAAAACGAGTTCGGGGGGTAGTCTTCCAAAGTCCCCGATTTTGGTCTAAAAAGGTAGAACTTCATCGTATTCAGGAACTTGACTTTACACTCATCCAAGTTCTCGAATTCCGCCATCAGTTGCTTTTTCGAGTTTTCCAAAAACAGGGTCATTTTGTCTTTGAACGGCTGCAGGTTTTCCGAGTTTGATGATTCAACCACTTGCTCGGTTTTTTTCTCGCATTCTGGAACGACTTAGCGGTGAGTCAGCTCATCTATATCAACCCAATTACCTGCCAGTTGTTTTTCCAGTTTTTGCAAATCCGCTCTGACGTCGTCGAACTTGACCGAAGCGGCTCGTTGAACATCGCCTGGCTCCGGAACCGGAAGCACCACGTTGGGTTCGAACGGATTATCAATTTTCTTCATATACAGCTTTACGATGTAATGCAGCAGAGTGATTTTGGAATCTTTCGACTTTACGTCTTTTAGTTTTGGCAGGATTTCAAGCCCGAAGCCGTCGGCTTGGCCCCGGGCCATGTTTCCGCCGTTCATGTAGTTTCCGAGGGTTAGAATTATGGCGAAAACCTCTTTGAGTTCGCCGTTATTGACTAAAAACTGCGGAAACGGTTTAGTGCGAGTTTCGTTTGGTAAAATGGGTTTTACTCACTTCGCATGTGGATTTGATATTCGTTAAGATGTGTCCTATCGTGCTAATTGAATCATCAAATTCGACTTGAAACATTAGACAGGATATTCTGTCAGCGAAGTTGGCTATTTCGGATAGGTCGTGCAAAAACTGCTCGGGTTTGTCTAGAGGTACTTGTGGATTCGTCGCTAAGTGGTTTTTTATGAGATTTAGTTCTTCGGAGTTGGCCCTCTGAAATAAATTTAACGTAACAGGTGTCGTGATTTCGGTGGATGATGATACTCACGACTTCGTATATCTGTTGCAACGCCTCTAGATTCACTATAGACGTGTCAAAATTATAAATCGCGTTTTCTATCTCTTGGAAGTCTACGTGTAAACTTTGAGCAAGTATTCCGACGTTCTGCGACCTCTTGCTATCTAGTATCTTGACGGCTTTAACTTTGGTTTTTTGTTCTTGTTTCTTGACAGTGGGTGTTCTGGTTACTACTTGTCGCGAAAATAGGTCTGCAAACTCGTTCAAACTTTCTAGAGGTAGTTCATCTATTTGGGTCCACAGAGCGGTGGAAGGCGCGTCCACCGTGTCCACCTCACTTGGTGCTAAAATTCTAGTCCAGTAGAGTGGCTTCATGGGGACTTTAGGGTTTAGAGTGGCTTTTCGCAACCCTAAAAACAAGTCACGATTATCGAATCTAGGAAAATTTTTCATAGTGAAGCAATATCGTGTTAGAAGCGTGATCACAAGCAAGTCGAAGCGTTTCCCAAATGCCTTAAGCAAGCATCCGTCTTAAAAGCGTCTTACCTAAGGACACTGGAACAGGAGGGACCACTACATAACAAAAAAAAATGTGCCTTCTGAGTAACATAAAACAATATTGGTGATGAGCTAACAGAATGAAAGACAATTACCGGCTTTTTGGGAGACCCAGCCTCCGGCGGGTGGCGGTGGGAGAGGAACGGGGCCGCTTGGTGGTGGCGGTGGTGGAGGCGGCCCACTTCCTATCGTCAGAGGTGGCGGAGGCGGTATTCCTCCAGACGCGACAGGAAGCGGCGGCGGCGGCGGCGGCGGAACCCCTAGTCCGGGAAGAGGTGGAGGCGGCGGTGCTTCCAAACTCGGCATTGGTGGAGGTGGTGGAACAAACGTCGCGACACTTGGTGGAGGAGAAGGAGGAGGTACCGAGGGTTCTAATACCGGCGGTGGCGTTACCACACACGCCGCCGCCACCAAAGTCATCGGCGGCGACGGCGTCGCCTCCCCCTCCACAACCACCTCTTCTATCATGATCGGGCTAGTGGTTTTGTCCGTTCGTGGCGTATCTTCAGTCTGTGTAGATTGTGCTTCACTACGTTGTGCTTCACTCAAACAGTCCGTTTGAACAATTTTATTTAAACTACTATCACAGCTCTTAAACAACTTGTTTTCTTCCACCGGCGAACTGAAATCTTCGACCGTCTTAGCGGTCAAGTGTTGGATTTCGATCATGGTTTTGTACTTGTCGACTTCTTGTTTTAGTCTGTTGATTTCTTCTTCCAATAGCAAGATTTCGACATCGCGGGCGGATTTCTTGAACTCTTGGTTGGGTCTTGGTTCCTCGTAGTCAAAAGGTTCGTCTGGTGTTTTGGGCGTCGTCACAGCGTCGTTTGTGCTCGCGGAAAGAAAAGCGTCGGACGGCGACGTCGGAGGCCACGAGACCATGCTGAGTCTTCCTGGTGTTTGCGGAATGGATAAGGGGGTCTCGGCATGGGTCCAGTAGTACATGCAATCAGGCTGCAAACAATCAACTTAACGAGATAAGATAATTTGCCGGTATTAACCAACTTTGAATATGTTGTACATTGGGACATCCTTGTCTGGGATTTGGCGAAGTACCCCGGCGGCTAGTAAATGGGTGCAGAACTGAATCGCCAGTAGCTTGAGGTCTTGTCCGTTGAGCAGCTGCACTAAGTGATGATCTTCACTAAACTCCGATAAGTACCAATTCACGAGCATATGACCTTAAACGGAACATTCACAATTAGAACTGGACCCTGAGCCGACTCATCATAAGGATGTATGGGTTGGTGATCACGCTCAAAAAGCATAGCCAACGAGAACGAATACCCCACAAGAATTACTAACTAAATTAGTTTACCTGTTTGACTTGGAGCACAATCACGTAACAGTTGTTTACTGACGAAAAACATAATTTTATCGCGAGATTACATTAATATGGGTGTTTGTCAGACAGCTCTCTGTCGTCTCAACTATTTGTTTTTTATGCCAGCTAAATGAAGATTTAAAAGACACGATATAGTAGACAAATTAAGTTTATAATGAGGCCGGAATTAAGCGCATTAATTACAAGAGATTGCCATGACGTACCCAAATAAGTAGGATGAATTCGCTTTTTATTTTATCGTTATCGTTTCAAATGATTTGCTACTATCAGATTGAACTTGAAAAACTAGTTCAGATAAATATCTACCTTCGAACTTTTCGTACAACTGGAAGTCCAATTTTTCTGGGACGAACTTAGGCTTGGTGATTTTCGCCTCTAGGTCCGCCTTGTTCAACGTAAGCGAGGCCACTTTCTTGAGTACTAAGCCATCTGGACTGAGTTTCGTAGGCTCTATGGGAACCGACATGTGTCTCTTGTACTCCGGGTGTCCTAAAACAACCCGTTCGCCAATTTCGTTTACACCGTCAGCCTCACCATTCGCTAGGTTGTTGTCCGACATCCTCTTGGCCAAGTGCGCCACCTTCTGCTCCTCTCCATGGTCCTGCGACTTTCGTTTCAACGTCCCACAATCCCCGCCTTCCTCGTCGTCCTTGTTTACGACTTCCACGTTTTCCGAGACGAAGCTGTCTTTGGGGTCGCTGTCCAGACTAATTTGGCTAGTTTTCGACACGCCGAGTTTGCTCAACTTCTTGCACTTGTCTTGTTCATGCCTGGCGCGGTAATCGTTCAGCTTGAAACTATTCAAAGTTAGGTTGTGTAAGAAATCCTCTTGCGTAGAGATATTAGGCACTTCCACGTCCAGATTAACGCTTTCTTCACTGTAATAGCACTGGTTCATTTCCGTGTTGAAGCCCACGGGTGTTAGGGGGTCGGTGAAATTGGAATCGGAGCTCGACGAGACCGCGCTGGGCGGCGTTTTGGTTTTCTTCTCGATATTTTTGTCGTTGAGCCGGTTGACTTTGCACCAGGAGTCGGTGACGATGAGGTTATCGGTGGCATTTTTTTCGGGCTCGGGGGCCGGGTCTTCGGAGTCTTCGGGCACGACGCCGGTGAAGTGGGACGAGTCGACTTTTCCGCGCTTTCCTCGCATTTTCATTAAGGATTTTACTTTACCTTGGGATTTGCCGGACTTGCCGGCCTGCTTAGGCTCGTTGGTTTGTAGATTACCCATTTTGGTGTCTGGATTTACGACAAGTCTAACTGTTTTCGTCTAGATTTAACAACAAAAGCGTTTGATTTAGAGGGAGTTGAACGAGGAGCCGCTTGCACACACTGCAGTTCCATTCTTAACTATACTTCGTTACTAAGTCACTACATTGATGTTTAGTTTTGCTACGATTTACTACAATTACTGTAAATATCACATTTTTGTATAAAGAACTGTACGGTGTTTGCTTCGGGCTTGTCAAGGCGCAGCTGCGCATGGTTGCGCCGTGGAATCGATAGAAAACAAAATACAACGCTGCTCTATTAAAACCCCCTTTTAATTGACTTTTTAGCGCTCTTTTGAAAACGTATGCACTATGAGTGATAACATTGTTACTTTGGCCGACTTGGGTCAGTGCTGTTTATTTATGGTGACACAATGTCCGTTTAACCACAAAAGGCACGAGCGTATAAATAACTCCACTTATCGTTTGATTATTCCAAAAATACACTCACGATTTACTCGGTACATTGGGATCGGAAAAGTAAACACGCGTTTTGATAATTAAAAAAATGCTGCAGGAATGGAACGAATTAATTTCCTATAGCGTTGTTGTTTGTGCACTTTCCTGCGGCAAATTTGTAGGTCCGAATGTTTCCCGGAGAATTCCGGGCATTCTGGAAACTCTGAATTTAAATAAGACTTTGCGGAATGGACGTAACTTACGCAGAAGTGGTTATAAAATGTCCATTTGCAGTGTTTAGTAAGTACAGTGTCTTTTAAAGGAGAGTGGAACGGTCTTTTACCACCTACGTTCGCAGAAACGTTTTACTTTTACCGCCAGATTTGTCATTTCCGACGCACTATTTTTATTTCTACATTGCTCGTATCACAACTAAGTTATCTTCAAGTTTCAACATTTAATTAAATCTAACTTTATCACTCTTTTTTCTCTAGATTAACAACACGCTTATTGTAACGCTTGACAGTACGTGTTTACCCAACAGATACGTTTTTTAAGTTAATAATGGTCAAAGTTCTTCGACTCGTGTAATCGTGTTGAATAGTAATTATGTTTCTGGAATACTATATTTCATCGTGACGATACCGTAATGAAACGATAATGATTTGACCTTGCAGAAATAGGGTAAAGAGAGCGATAAAATTCAAATTTGTGGGTGTTTCGACTAATCTACATGTTAATTGTTTTACTATGTAGATAAAATTAGTCATTTTTGTGATAAGTGTAATTGGCGTGGAAATTCGTGGATTTTTTCCTCAAATAAAACTGACCCAAAACAGCTGGTTTGTTCTTTTGCATATTTATTAAATGTTATTTAATACTAGCGAAGGCGACTCCCTAGTCTTATGTTTTCTTGACCTTTTATGACCCCTAAAGTAAAAAAAGTAGGTCTCCCGTTTCCGTCTGTCTGTCTGTCTGCCGTCTGACCGAATTTTTATTAGACAAATAATCTTCGAAATTGCAGGACCTACTTTTATGTATATTAGGACTATCATGTTCAGTTTTCACCCTAGACATCCAGATTTTTGGAAAAAAATTAAAGTTGTATAACATTATGCAATTTATCTTTGAAACTGCAAAACCAAAAAACTTATCCTGAATTGTTTGATTTCGACTTTTCAATGTTTCAGTTTCATAATTTTTCGTTTTTTCAATTTCACAATTTTTCGCATATTAGAATTTTTCATTTTTCGATTTTGCAGTTTATCAATTTTCCCGACATATTTATTTTTTTTTAATCTTTGATTTTTCAAGTTCTCTATTTTCCAAACATTGGATTTCTTTAATTTTCAATATTTCCATTTTATATTTCGTTTTTATGATTTCGCACTCATTCGATTTTTAAGTTTCTCAATTTTTAATCTTTGGATTTTTCAAAGTTTTAATCTCATATTTCATATTTTTTCGTTTTTTTCATTTTGATTTTTCAATTTTACAATGTTGCAATTTTTCCATTTTTTTGATTCAAATGTTGAGAAATAGAAAAAGTGGAAAATCGAAAAATCGAGAAACTTTTAAATCGAAGAAATGAATGAATCGAAAAACTGGAAAGAAGAAAAAATGAATCGAATCGAAAATAGCAAAAATTGTAAAAGCGTTCAAATTGTAAAGTTGGAAAACTGTAACACTGAAACATCGAAAAATTGAAAAATTATACCGAAAAACTGAAAATTGAAAAATTGAAAAATCCAAACATTGAAAATTTCAAATTATAAAAATCATAAAAATCAGAACATTAGAACACCGAAAACCTGAACAATAAAGAAAATAAAAAACCGAAACGAAAAACTGCAAATAAAAAATATAAAGAAATGAAAAATTAAAAATTCGAGAAATTTTAATTCGAACATTGTAAAATCCAAAAACTGAAGAAAAATGAAAAACTGAAAACTTGTAAAAATTAAATGTCAAAAGACAAGATTTTCAGTCTTTGCTTTTCAGATTCTCGATTTTCCAATCATTAATCTTTCAATTTTGCAATTTTGGATTTCTCAATTTTCCGATTTTCGGATTCCTTTAATTTTCAATGTTTCGATTTTACATTACGATTTTGCAGTTTTTCAAATTTTTAAGTTTCCTAATTTTTAATATTTCGATTTTTCCGTTTTTCCTTTTTTAGTTTTTGAAGTTCGTTATTTCCAGTTTTCAGATTTTTCAAAGTTTCGTCTCATACTTTTTCGCTGTTTCATTTTTGATTTTTCAATTTTACAATGTTGCAATTTTTACATTTATTTGGTTCGAAAAGTTGAAAAATAGAAAAATTGGAAAACTGAACAACTGAAAAAAACAAAAATTGCAAAATCAAAAAATGGAAAATCGATAAATAGCAAATCGAAGACCTGAAGAAACGAAAAATCGAACCACTGAAAAATTAAAAATCGGCGAATTTGAAAAATTGAAAAATTTCCAAAATTGAAATGTTGATAAATTAGGAAATCAAAATCTTAAAAAATAGAGAAATAGAAAAAAAGAAAAATAATCTAATGTAGGGAAATCAAAAAAGGAATCGAAAAATTGAAAAATGGAGGATTTGAAAAATTTAAACACTGAAATGTCGAAAAATTAAAAAATTGTAACATTGAAAATTTTGAAAAACAAAAATGAAAATACGGTAAAGTCGAAAAAAAAGGAGAAATAGAGAATTTGAAAAATCGAAATATCGAAATTTGAAAAATTTTAAAATCGAAAACTTGAAAAATCGAAAAATGTAAACATTAAAAATTGGGAAACTGAAACATCGTAAAACTGAAAATTAAAAAAAAAACAATGGAGAAATTGAAATATCGAGAAATTAAAAAAATTTAGAACAAAAATGTCGAAAAATTGGGAATTTGAAAAATTGTATAATCGTAACGTCGAAAAGTTAAGAAAAAGAAAAATTGCAAAATCAAAAAATAGAAAATTGAAAATTCGAAATGGAAGACCTGAAGAAAGGACAATTCGAAACACTGAAAAATTAAAAATCGAGGAAATCGAAAAAACGAAAAATTGAAAGAACGATCAAATCGTCGAAAATATGGAAAATTGAAAAATTTCCAAAATTCAAATGTTGAAATATTGGAAAATCAAAAACTTGAAAAAATAGAGAAATTGAAAAAAAGAAAATCTGAAAACCTGATGTAGAGAAATCAAAATGAAAAATTGTAAATTTGAAAAATCGAACAAAAAATAAAGAAGCTGAATTACCCCAAATTCGAAAAATTGAAAAAACCGAAAAATCTAAAACCAAAATGTCGAAAAATCGAAAGATCGAAAGTCGAGACATCAAAGAAATGAAAAATTTTAAATTTATCAAATCGAAAAATTAAAAACTGAGAAATCGGAAAACCAAAAAATTGAAACATTGAAAAATCCAGAAATCGAAAAGGACGAAAAAGAACGGAAAAGGACGAAAAGGACAATAAGTATGAAAAAGGACGCAAAGGGTGAAAAAGAAAGACAAAGGATGAAAAGGACGAAACAGGACGAAAAGGACGAAAAAGTACGAAAAGGACGAAAAAGGACGAAAAGGACCAAAAGGACGAAAAATACGAAAATTATGAAAAAGGACGAAAAGGAGAAAAAAAGGACGAGAAAGGACGATAAAGGACGAAAAGGACGAAGAAGGTCGAAAAGGGCGAACAAGGACGAAAAGGACGAAAAAGGACGAAAACGACGAAAAAAGACGAATAGGACGAAGGACGATAAAGACGAAGGACGAAAAGGACGAAGGACGAAGGACGAAAAGGACGAATGACGAAAAGGACGAAGGACGAAAAGGACGAAAGGCGAAAAGGACGAAGGAAGAAACGGAAGAAGGACTAAAAGGACGAAAAAAAAAGGACAAAGGATGGAAGGGACGAAGAACGAAGAGGCCGAAGGACGAAAATGATGACAAAGGACGGAAAAGGACGAAAAGGACGAAAAAGTACGAAAAGGACGAAAAAGGACGAAAAGGACCAAAAGGACGAAAAGGAGAAAAAAGAACAAGAAAGGACGAAAAAGAACGAAAAGGACGAAGACGGTCGAAAAGGGCGAGAAAGGACGAAAAGGACGAAAAAGGACGAATAGGACGAAAAGGAAGAAGGACGATAAGGACGAACGACGAAGGACGAAGAACGAAAAGGACGAAAAGGACCAGAAGGACGAAAAATATGAAAAGAATGAAAAAGGACGAAAAGGAGAAGAAAGGAGGAGAAAGGACGAAAAAGGACGAAAAGGACGAAGAGGGTCGAAAAGGGCGAAAAAGGACGAAAAGGGCGAAAAGGACGAAAAAAGACGAATAGGACGAAAAGGACGAAGGACGATAAGGACGAAGGACGATAAATAAATAGGTATATATTTGCCAAACAGCATAAGCCACAAGTAGGCAAAATAGAAAAAAATACAAAATACATATATAACAGGAAGGAAAAGGACAAAAAGGACGAAAAATACGAAAGGAATGAATAAGGACGAAAAGGAGAAAAAAGGACGAGAAAGGACGAAAAAAGACGAAAAGGACGAAGGACGATAAGGACGAAGGACGAAAATGACGAATGACGAAAAGGACGAAGGACAAAAAGGGCGAGAGGCAAAAAGGACGAAGGAAGAAACGGACGAAGGACTTAAAGGACGAAAAAAAAGGACAAAGGACGAAAGGGACAAAGAACGAAGAGGCCGGAGGACGAAAAGGACGAAGGACGAAAAGACCAAGGACAGGAAGAACGAAGGACGAAAAGGTGACCACTTTTTTGAAAAAAAATTCGGAAATCCTTTGTCTCTGGTTTTAAAATAGTTTCAAATAACCTAGGGAATCTTTGTGTTTTGTTTTTGAACTAATTTGAAAGAATGTCCGGGGCAAAGGACAGAAAGAACGAAGGACCAAAAAGACGAAGGACCAGGGACAAAAAGGGCGAAGGACCAAAATGACGAAGGTTGAAAAGGATGAAGGACAAAAGTGATTTTTCATTTTTTAGATTTTGCATTTCTGCGATTTTTAAATTTATCAGTTTTTAATCTTTGGATTTTTTCATTTTTCATTTGTTTAGTTTTTCAAGTTCTTGATTTCCCATTTTAAGATTTTTCGTTTCTTCGGTTCTTCAATTTGCAATTTTTTATTTTGGAATTTTTCGTTTCCCAGTTTTTCAATTTCTCAACTTCTCGAATCACATGAAAAAAGCAAAAAGCATAAAATGAAAACTTTGTAAAATCTGATAAATTTAAAAATCGACGAAATGCAAAATCTAAAAAACGAAAAATTAAATAAAAAAAAAAAATAAAGAAATCGGAAAATCGGATAATGTGAAATACGAAAATTCTAAATTGAAAAATTGAAAAATTGAAAAATCGGGTGACTGAAAAACCAAGGATGAAAATTTGAAGGACTGAATAAACTAAAAATGATAAAATCGAAGAAAAAGGTGGTCCCAGAATTTTTGGTGGATTTTTGGACAACATTTGAAACGTCCGCTTCAATACTCCCCATTTAAAAGAAAATTTCGACCTTTTTCGACAAAGAACTAAACAATGCTAACATGGCCTACCTTTGACTGAAAACGCTCTGAACGGTATCTAAATCGTTTTATTTATATTTCGTTTTTTTAATACCCGTAGCGACGTATCATGCATGTTTACAGTTTATAAAATTTTAATAACCGTAGTAGGAGAGTTTTCAAAGGACTATAAAGCTTTCATATTTTATTAGCGAGCACTTACAAAGTATAATAAATGAAATTTTAGAAGAACAGGAGGCGAATTAAATACAGATTGTTTCAAATTTAAAGTTTCCGGTTTGTCGGCCATCGTCGCAGTACAATTTATATGACGAAAATAAATGGAAGCAACCCTGTTTCATTATGACTTCCCTGGAACTGTTCGTTTATGAATATTCCAGATCATGGTATGGTGCGACTACTGACGACTCCGTTGTTTCATTTCGTTCCAGTTGTAATTTTATGGTTAATAACGAAGCGATTAATATTTGTAGATGCCTGTAGCAGTTATTAAATTGTTTCATACAGTTTTATGATGTTACGGCTACAATGGAAAGGACGACGCCACTTCAAACTACTCGTATCCCACTAACTAATCTAAAGATTTCTATTTTTGCACTAGTACGTGTATCGCGCAAACTGTTTTCTTTGAAAACTAATTTCACTCAAGACCGTCTTACTTTACTTTGCTTTGGGGTAATTAATTCTTTAACAAACCGCCACATTTGTTCTTCGGGAAACAAACCTTTTATGAATTCACCGCGTGCTCAAAGTTGTATCATAAAAGTTTTAAGAAGAGAACCCGCAAGTTCTAAGTAATTTGATCGTAAAGTATGAAACAAATAAGACCCTACGAGAATAAATTAATTCGAGATTTTATTAATAAGTAGTGCGCACAGCAGATATCCTTACCTTTACGTCCTTATTTTCATTTTATACACATTTCGTTTAGAAAACGCAGGCGAACTTCCGGCGAACTAATTCTTGCCAAGCCGAGAACTGGCATTTGCATACGTTTTAAATAAGGTCCTTAACGAAAATCTCCAAATTTCTGAGTTCGGCTCTCGGAATGGAAATTCTAGACAGCTCGCTGTTTTTGATGTAATTGAAGATTCGTTCAAATTAACAGAAAGCGCCCACGTTTAAGATTATTTCGGCCTGGCTCCTGAAGTGTGCCGGTGTTATTGAAATTTATCGGCGCACTCATATGCACTTTAATTTTCTGATCAAGTTTCTACAAATTGGGTTTTCTCTACAGGCTCTTTCGGATAATGGTTTTAAATAAATTTTCTTTCACATCATGCCGAGGGATTTGGCTTACCGAAACTGAATTTTATCAAACTAAAGCGATTGAAGAACTCTACTAAGCCTACGTTGTGCGCGGATAAAAAGGAAAATTAAATCGGTCGGAAAATTATCGGCGAATTATGTCGTAGCTTTGCTAGAGATAGTGAAAGTATATGTAGGGGTTTAGATATTCACGAAACTGTTACAAACACAATAGAGATAAAAACTGAACATGGTGTGTCCAAATCCGGGCAGATAGGCAAATATACAGGCTGTTTCCTGGCAATCGTGACTCAATTTTTATAATAATATTGTAGCTTTATATGGAAAAAATTGGTTGAAGATTTTTAAGATAGAAATTCGCTTGTCGGCGTAATTAACTGTCAGTTTTTCCATTTTCCAACTTTTAAATATTTCAATTTTTAGATTTTCCAATTTTTTGATTTGAAAATTTCGTTTCGGTTTTCATTTTTCAGTTATTCGATTTTTCGATGTTTAGTTTCTTCAATTTTTCGAGTTATAAGTTGTCAGTTTTTCATTGTTTTTCAATTTTTTTGCATTATTGCAATTTAAAATTGCTCCAGATTTCAATTTTTAACTTTCCAATTTTTCGATTCCTTCAGATTTTTTATTTGTAACCTTTCGTTTCAGTTTGTTATTTCCTTTGTTTTTTCAGTGTTTCGGGTTTTCAGTGTGTTTTTTGGCTTTTAATTTTTTGAATTTTTCGTTTCTCCAATTTAAATTTATAGTTTCCTCAATTTTTGATTTGCAATTTTCTTAGTTTTATTTTATATACGTAGGTAATAATAATTACAATTTCAAACTTTTTAATTTTTTTAATTTTACAATTTTGACGATTTTATGATTTTTCAAGTTTACAATTTTTGGGTTTTCAATTTGAAAAAGGACGACAAAGGACGAAAAGGACGAAAAAAGACAAAAAGGACGAAACAGGACGAAGCACGAAGAGGACGAACCACGAAAAGGACGAAGGACGAAGGATGAACAGGACGAAGGATGAAAGGGACGAAGGATCAAAAAGGACGAAGGACGAAAAGGACGAAGGACGGAAAGGACGAAAAGGACGAAGGACGAAAAGGACGAAAATGACGAAAAGGACGGAGGGCGAAAAAGGCGAATGACAAAAAGGGCGACCACTTTTTTTTGTTTTCAAAGTAGTTTGAAAAAAAATTCTGGAATTCTTGTATCTGGTTTTGAAGTAGTTTCAAATAACCTCGGGGATCTTTGTCTTTTGTTTCTGAACTAATTCGAAAGAATGTCCGGGGCAAAGAAAGAAAACGACGAAGGACAAAAAGGACGAAGGATACTAAAGGGACGAAGGACTAAAAGAACGAAGGACTAAAAGGATTTCTTCAGATTTTTGATTTGTAACCTTTCGTTTCAATTTGTTATTTCCTTTGTTTTTTCAGTGTTTCGGGTTTTCAGTGTGCTTTTCGGTTTTTAATTTTTTTAATTTTCCGTTTTTCCAATTTAAATTTTTTGTTTCCTCAATTTTTGATTTGCAATTTTCCTAGTTTTCATTTTATATACGTAAGTAATAATAATTATAATTTCAAAATTTTTGTTTTTTTCAATTTTTTATTTTGACGATTTTATGATTTTTCAAGTTTACAATTTTTGGGTTTTCAATTTGAAAAAGGACGACAAAGGACGAAAAGGACGAAAAGGACGATGAAGGACGGAAAAGGATTAAAATGACCAATAAGGACGAAGAAGGACGAATAAGGACGAAAAGGACGAACGACGAAAAGGACGAAGGACGAAAAGGATGAAGGACGAAAACAACGAGGACGAAAATAACGAGGACGAAAAGGACTGAAAAGGACGAAAAAGGACAAAAGAGGACGAAAAGGACGAAAAGGACGAAAAAGGACGGAAAAGGACGAAGTGAACGAAGCACGAAAAGGACGAAGGACGAAGAGGACGAAGCACGAAAAGTACGAAGGACGAAGGGTGAACAGGACGAAGGATGAAAAGGATGAAGGACGAAAAGGACGAAGGACGTAAAGGACGAAGTACGTAAAGGACGAAGTACGTAAAGAACGAAGTACGTAAAAGACGAAGTACGTAAAGGACGAAGTACGAAAAGGACGAAGGACAAAAAGTACGAAAAGAACGAAGATCGAAAATGAGGAAGGTCGAAAAGATCGAAAGGACGTAGGACGAAAAAAACGAAGGACGAAAAGGAGGAAAGACGAAAAGAACGAAAAAAGACGAAAAGGACGATGAAGGACGAAAAAGGATTAAAATGACGAAGGACGAAAGGAACGAAGGACGAAAAGGAAGACGGACGAAGAGGACGAAGCACGAAAAGTACAAAGGACGAAGGATGAACAGGACGAAGGATGAAAAGGATGAAGGACGAAAAGGACGAAAAGGACGAAGGACGTAAAGGACGAAGTACGTAAAGGACGAAGTACGTAAAGGACGAAGTACGAAAACGACGAAAAGGGCGAAGGACGAAAAGGACGATAGACGAAAAGGACGAAAACTACGAAGGACAAAAAGAAGGAAGGACTAGAAGGACGAAAAGAACGAAGATCGAAAAGGACGAAGGATGAAAAGTACGAAAAGAACGAAGATCGAAAATGACGAAGGTCGAAAAGATCGAAAGGACGAATAAGGACCAAAAGGACGAAGGACGAAAAGAACGAGGATGAAAAGGACGAAAAAATATGAAAAGGACGAAAAAGGAAGAAAGAGGACGAAAAGGACGAAATAGGATTAAAAGGACGAAGAAGGACGAAGAAGGACGAAGAAGGACGAGTAAGGACGAAAACGACGAACGACGGAAAGGACGAAGGACGAAAAAGATGAAGGACGAAAAGAAGGAGGACGAAAAGGACGAGAAAGAACGAAAAAAGATGAAAAGGACAAAAAAGGACGGAAAAGGACGAAGGACGAAAAGAACGAAGGACGAAGCGGACGAAGCACGAAAAGTACGAAGGACGAAGGATGAACAGGACGAAGGATGAAAAGGATGAAGGACGAAAAGGACGAAGTACGTAAAGGACGAAGTACGTAAAGGACGAAGTACGAAAAGGACGAAAAGGGCGAAGGACGAAAAGGACGAAAAGGGCGAAGGACGAAAAGGCCGAAGTTCGAAAAGGACGAAGGACAAAAAGGACGAAGGACAAAAAGGACGAAGGACTAAAAGGACGAAAAGATCGAAGATCGAAAAGAGCGAAGGACGAAAAGTACGAAAAGAACGGAGATCGAAAATGACGAAGGTCGAAAAGATCGAACGGACGAAGGACGAAAAGGACGAAAAAGGACCAATAAGGACGAAAAGGACGAAGGACGAAAAGAACGAGGATGAAAAGGACGAGAAAGGACGAAAAAAGATGAAAAGGACGAAAAAGGACGAAAGAGGACGAAAAGGACGAACGACGAAAAAGATGAAGGACGAAAAGAACGAGGACGAAAAGGACGAGAAAGAACGAAAAAAGATGAAAAGGACGAAAAAGGACGGAAAAGGACGAAGGACGAAAGGAACGAAGGACGGAAAGAACGAAAAGGGCGAAGCACGAAAATTACGAAGGACGAAGGATGAACAGGACGAAGGATGAAAAGGTTGAAGGACGAAAAGGACGAAGGACGTAAAGGACGAAGGACGTAAAGGACGAAGTACGTAAAGAACGAAGTACGTAAAGGACGAAGTACGAAAAGGACGAAAAGGGCGAGGGACGAAGTACGAAAAGGGCGAAGGACGAATAGGACGATGGACGAAAAGGACGAAGGTCGAAAAGATCGAAAGGACGAAAGACGAAAAAAACGAAGGACGAAAAGGACGAAGAACGAAAAGGACGAAGGACGAAAAGGACGAAAAAAGATGAAAAGGACGAAAAGGACGATGAAGGACGAAAAAAGATGAAAAGTACGAAAAAAGACGAAAGAGGACGAAAAGACCGAAAAAGACGAAGCACGAAAAGGACGAAGGACGAAGGATGAACAGGACGAAGGATGAAAAGGATGAAGGACGAAAGGGACGAAAAGGATAAAGGACGTAAAGGACGAAGTACGTAAAGGACGAAGTACGAAAAGATCGAAAGGACGAAAGACGAAAATGACGAAGGACGAAAATGACGAAAAGGACGAAGGGCGGAAACAGCGAATGACAAAAAGGGCGACCCCTTTTTTTTTGTTTTTAAAGTAGAACACAAATTCTGGAATCCTTGTATCTGGTTTTGAAGTAGTTTCAAGTAACCTCGAGATCTTTGTCTTTTGTTTTTGAACTAATTCGAAAGAATGTCCGGGGCAAAGAAAGAAAACGACGAAGGACAAAAAGGACGAAGGACTAAAAGGACGAAGGACTAAAAGAACGAAGGACTAAAAGGACGAAGGAGTAAAAAGACGAAGGACCAAAAACCAAAAGGGCGAAGGGCCAAAAGGGTGAAGGGCCAAAATGACGAAGGTCGAAAGAATGAAGAACGAAAATGACGAGGGACGAAAAGGAAGAAGAACGAAAAGGATGAAGGACTAAAGGGACGAAGGACTAAGAAGACGAAAGACCAAGGACAAAAAGGGCGAAGGACCAAAATGACGAAGGTCGAAAAGGACGAAAGACAAAAAGATGAAGTACGAATAACCTAAAGGCTAAAAAATTGATCAATTGAAAATCGAAAAATTGCAAATAGAAAAATTAAAAAATCTAAAAACTGATGTATTTCACTTTTTAAAAATTATAAAATCAGAACAGTAAAATAACGAAACACTAAAAAAAAAGAAAACAAAAAACTGAAACAAAAAATTACGAATAGTAAGCCTGCATAAACAAAAAAATGAAAAATTGAAAAAACAAATCGACAAATTGGATAATTGAAAAAAATAACCAAATATAAATAAAACAATTTAGACACCGTTCAGGGCGTTTTTAAGCAAAGGCAGGCCTTGTAAATCTAGTAGTTTGGTTGGCATTATTTAGGTCTTTTTCGAAAAAGTTCGAAATTTTTTTTTAAGTGGGGAGTATTGAATTGGACATTTGAAAAGTAGGCCAAAAATCCACCAAAAATTCAAAATAACTTTTGCAGGCCGAAATCTACAAAAAATCTATTTAGGTCGTTTTCGAAAAATGTTGAAAAAAGGTCGAAATTTTCTTTTAAGTGTGGAAAAAGTTGTCTAAAAATCTCAAAATGTGGCAAATCGGACTGACAGACAAACCTGTCAATGAAGCAGTTAATCCAAAGTGAAAAAAAAATCATAGCCTACTTTTTTTGCCTACAAATATACTGAACGATTTATACCTGTAATTACGTATTCCTTATCAACATCGGGTCAAAAATGTGCACATATTTCCACTACAGCGACCATTCCACACTGAATATTTATAAAATCGTGTATTATGTGCAAATATATGAATGAAGCCTTCGTTTTTATGTGTCAGTAAAAATTCCACCGGATTTGCAAAGGCGGCGAAAGCCGGAAGCGTGAGATAAAAGTGCATTTTTAAAACCATGATGATTCCCTCCAAAATATCATCTAACTGAAATTTATTTGGCACTTGGCTGCCAACAGTGAAACTTTCCATAAATAATTCGTTTTAAAATTCATCGGATGTTACATGTACTACAGCTGGAATTAAATTCAATAAAGCCCCGGTTGTAAACAACTCGCTGCAACCGAACTGATAATAACTAAATTAAAACTCATTCTACGCGTAGCTTTGACGTTTTCATTAAACATCAGCAGAAGTGCGAAAAATGCACCGATTAAAGCCGCTATTAATTAATGCACCCGTTCTGAGTCGAAATTAACATCTTCCAGCTCCCCTTTCTGGCGACGTTGTTATTTTACTTGGCGTAGAGCAACAAAATTATACAAAGTTTTTGCAATTTAATAATATTGCCAAGTTGGAGCAGAATCTATGTGACTCTGAGGTAAATCCAGTGTTGGTGCGAAATTTTCAACTAAATTAATTTTGTATTATAAGAGAAGGCACCTATATGAGACAGGTCTGACACAATATTATTTCCGTTTTACCAAGGTAACCAACAAGGTGTATAATTTTCATTACCCGCACGCGGAAAAAGAACGAACACTCATTCCCGGCGTTTTCCGGGTGTGTTTACTTATTATTTTTTGCCTTGAACTTGATATACGGTTGCAAGGTGGATGTGTAAACAGCCACAAATAAAAATGTTCCGGTAAAAAATTAGCACTAGTTGGGATAACATAACCAGGTTTTTACACCCATGTAGTTTGAACAAGATCTCAATCTCTGATTTTTATCAAAAAGATAACAGTTGTCATGTTTTGTAGTTATTCCGGTGTTGATAGCTTGTCGCCGGTTATTAATCCCTGATAACGAAAATATACACATCTCTGACACGATAAGAACCTTGTAATAAGTCTCTCTGGTGATAGAATGCGTCCCCGCCACGATGGTCAACGTCAACGTCATCAAAGCTACATTTTCAATTTTTAATAAAGTTTGTTTTCTTTCATTTAATAACCCAAATTCATTTTAAAATACATCTGTGTACGCTGGAAGTAAACAGTGCAGCGATATGTTAAAAGTTTAATCTCTGATTCCACCAAATTCAAAAACTTTTGTTCAAGCTTATTTTTTTAAGGTTCTCTATTTTTACAATTGCCGTTTTTCATTGGCGTTTGGCGGAAGATTGAATAGTTAAAAGTACGTGAATAAAGTTCTCGACGCTCTGTTTTAAATAAACGAAAACATTGGAACGGCGTTTTACAGCGAATATTTTCATTTAGTTTTTATCGCACAAAAATAAATAAAAGCGTCTGCAGCCAGTTCTGGTGGGTTAAAAATTGCTGTTTATTGTCTGACTTTTGGAATGTGGGAGTTGATAGCATAATGGGAAAAATGGTTTAAGGGTATTTGGAGAGAAATTCCTCGCTCCTGAAGTATAGTCCAGCTTCTTCGAAAAATTATATTATCTTTGAGTTTGTGGTATTTTACTTATTTTATGAAAACACATTGAAGTTAAAATAAAAATATATACATAATACCAATTACCTGAATTTTGGTGGGCTGGAAACCACCATGAGGGTACCGGGGGCAAGGATTAACCAGTGACATCCGCGCCGACTCGACATCTGCTTTTTTTCTCTGTTTTTTTTCCGACAAATTATTATCTTAACCGAAAAACCGTAAAATCGAAAAATTCAAAGAACGAGCAACAGAAACGTCAAAAATTGAAAATTTGAAAAATTCAGAAATGGGAATGTTGTAAAATTTGGAAATCGAAAACTTGAAAACTTGAAAAAACGAAAAATCTAAAAATTAAGATCGGAAAATCGAAAAATTTATTAAAAAATGGGGAAATCAAATCAAAAAATCGTAAATTCGAAAAATTGAAAAATCAAAAAAGAATAGCAAATTTGGAAAATTGAGAACTGAAAAATTCCAAAACTGAAATGTCCAAAAACCGAGAAATCAAGAATTCAAAAAAAAGAAACACTGAAAAATTGAAGCATCGAGAACTTGAACCGTGAAAAATTTAAAAAATCGAGAAAGCTGAACATCAACAAAAAATCGGGACGGCATACAGACGGACGGACAGACGGACAGACGGAAACCGGAGATCCATTTCTTCGTACTCTAGAGGCTATGAAAGATTGAAAAAACGTAAAAGTAGAGAGTCATCCGACGGGCTCGATTAAGTAATGCTCTGGAAGTAAAAATAAAAAAATTGAAAAATTGAAAAATCTGGAAATTAAAATCTTGAAAAATTTGAAAATCGAAAACTTAAAAAAATCGAGAAATCCAAAAACGAAAATTTTTAAAAATCCTAAAATTGATGCCGGGTAATTGACAATTCGAAAAATCAAAAAAATTATGAAACGATTTGAAAATCGAAAAATTAAAACATCAAAAAATGATAAAATTAATAAATCGAAAAACTGAAAAATCGTAAAACTGAAAAGTCAAACAAAGAATCGAAAAATTGAAAAAACGAGAAATCGAAAATTCGAAAAATTGATTAAAAAATTTAAAAATCGGGAACTCAAAACCTCAGAAAATCGTAAATTCAAAAAATTGAAAAATCAAAAATGTATAGAAAAAACGAAAAAGTGAAAAATTCCAAAACTAAAATGTCGAAAAATTAGGAAAATCCAAAACTTAAAAAAATAAAGATATCCAAAAAACCGAAAAGACGAAGATTTTTTAAAATCTAAAAACTGATGTCGTGAAATCGAAAATTCGAGAAATTGAAGAAATGATCGAACAATTTCAAAATTGGAAAAGTAAAACTTCAAAAAAATCGTAAAATTGAACAATTGAAAAATCGCAAAATGTAAAAATTAAAAATAGAAAAAAAAAGAAAATCGTAAAACTGAAAAATAAACAAAAAAAAATTGTTAAATCGAAAAATTGAAAAATCGTAACGTCGAAAAGTTGGAAAAACAAAAATCGAAAGTCCCAAAAGTCGAAAAATCGAAAGTTCAAAAATCGAGATATTGAAAATTGAACTATTGACATATCGAGAAACATGGGCGATCGACAAATCGAAAAAATCTGAAAAATAAAGAAATCGAATTATCCCAAATTCGAAAACCTGAAAAATCTAAAACCGAAAAACCGAAGGATCCAGAAATCGGGGCATAAAAAAATCAAAAATTTTAAAGTCGAAAAAATGGAAAATCATAAAACTAAAAAGTCTAAAAAAGAATGGAAAAATTGAAAAATCGTTACGTCCAAGATGGAAAAATAAAAATCGAAAAGCAGAAAAGTGGAACAATCGAAAAATCGGAAAATGTAAACATTAAAAAATCAATAAACTGAAAAATCATAAAACTGTAAAGTCAAAAAAGAATCGAAAAATTCAAAAATCGGGAACTTGAAAAATTCCGAAATTGAAATGTTGAAAAATTGGGAAATCGAAAAATCGAAAAATCGTTACCTCGAAGAGTTGGAGAAACAAAAATTGAATAAGTAGCCGAAAAGTGCAAAAATCTAAAAATCGGAAAACCGAAAATCAAAAAATCGAAACATCGAAAATTGAACAATTGATATATCGTGAAATTGAAACACTAAAAAATAAAGAAATCGAATTAGCCCAAATTCGAAAAATTGAAAAACTGAAAAATCTAAAACCGAAAAGTCGAAAAATCGAAGGATGGAGAAATCGGAATATGTATAAAAAATTTAAAAATCTAAGATTTAAAAAACTGAGTAATTAAAAATCGAGAAATCGAAACATCAAAACATTAAAAAATTGAACAATCATTGAAATGTTGGAAAATTGGAAAATCGAAAACTCAAAAAATTGAGAAATCCAAAAAAACGAAAAGCCGAAAAATTTTAAAAATCCAAAAACTGAAAATTCGAAAAATAAAAAAATCACGAAAAAGCTTAAAAATCGGAAAATCAAAACATCAAGACTGCTTAAAATTGAAAAATCTAAAAATTGAAAAATGTAAAAATTGAAAAATGGAAAAACTGAAAAATCGTAGTCAAAAAAGAATCGAAATATTGAAAAATCGCGAAATTGAAAAATTCCAAAACTGAAATGTCGAAAAATTGGGAAATCGAAAAATTGAAAAATCTAAAATTTTAAATAGGTATTGAAAAATTGGAAAATCGAGAAATCGAAAAAACGGAAGGCGAAAATTTTTAAAAATCTAAAAATCGAAAAAATTGTTTAAAAAATTTAAAAATCGGGAAATTAAATCATCAAAATTGAAAAACTGAAAAACGGAAAAATGTAAAAATTAAAATATCGAAAAACTTAAGAAACGTAAAACTGAAAAATCAAAGAAATAAGAATCGAAAAATTTAAAAATAGAGAAATTGAAAACTTCAAAAGTGAAATGTGAGAAACTGGAAAAGCCGAAAATTGGAAAAATCGAGACATAAAAAAATTAATAATTGACACATCGAGATTTTGAAACATGAAAAGAACAAGAAATCGAAAAATTGAAAAATAAAGAAATCTAAAAATTGTTTAAAAAATTTAAAAATCGGGAAATTGAAACATCAAAAAATCATAAAATTGAATAACTGAATGGTCAAAGAAAGAATCGAAAAATTGGAAAATCGACAAATCGAGAAAACAGAAAGCGAAAATTTTTAAAAATCTAAAAACCGATGTCAGGAATTCAAAAATTCGAAAAATGAAGAAATTGATTAAAAAAATAAAAAAATGTGGAAATAAAACATCAAAAAATCGTAAAATCAAAAAATTGAAAATAGGAAGAAAGTAAAAATTAGAAAATCGAAAAACTGAAAAGCGTATTTAACACAAAACATAAAAAAGCTCGAAAAATTGGAACATCGAGAAACTGAAAATTTCCAAAACTGAAAAGTCGAAAAATTGGGAAATCGAAAAATTAGGAAATCGAAAAATTGAAAAATCTAAAATTTAAAAAATCGAAACATTAAAAATCTAGAATTCGAATCTTCAAAAAATTGACAAAATTGAAAAACCCTGAAATTGAAATGTTGAAAAATTGGAAAATCGAAAACTTGAAAGAATCTAGAAATCCAAAAAAAAGAAACGCCGAAAATTTTTAAAAATCTAAAAACTGATATCGAGAAATCGAAATTTCGAAAAATAAAAAATTCATTAAAAAATTTAAAAATCGGGAAATCAAAACATCAAAAAATCTTAAGATCAAAAAACTGAAAAAACTTAAAAATCGAAAAAGTGAAAAATCGTAAGACATAAAGTCAAACAAAGAATCGAGAATTCGAAAAATCGAAACATCGAAAATTTAAAAATCGACGAATCGAAACGTCAAAAAATTGAAAAATTGAAAAATCCTTCACTGAAATGTTGAAAAACGAAAATTTAAAAAAATCAAAAAACTGATACAGGAAAATCGAAAATTCGAAAAATCAAAAAATTGATTAAAATAATTAAAAATCGGGAAATTGAAACATCAAAAAATTGAAAAACGACGAATGTAAAAATTAAAAAACCGAAAAACTCAAAAATCGTAAAACTGATGAAACGTCAGAAACTGAAAAACGTCGAAAAGTTGGAAAAACAAAAATCGAAAAGCCGAAAAGTCAAAAAATTGAAACATCGAGAAACTGAAAGATGAAAACATCGAGAAACCTATAAACGGAAAAAAGAAAAAAATGGAATTAGCCCAAATTCGACAAAATGGAACATCGAAAAATTGAAAAACCGAAAAATCTAAAACCAAAAAGTCGAAAAATCGAAAGATCGAGAAATCAAAACATCAAAAAATGGAAAAATTGATACGTTGAAAAATTAAAAAATCGAAAAATCGAACAATTGAAAATGTAAAAGTTGAGAAAAATTGGAGAATCGAAAAATTGAAAAATCGTTCAACTCGAAAAATTGAGAAACTGAATAATTCAAAAACGGAGAACTTGAAAATTTGAAAAATCGAAATGTACAAAAATTTAGAAATCGAAAAATTGAAGAATAAAATAAAATGAAAAATTCCAAAACCAAAATATCGAAAAATTAAGAAATCGGTAGATATAGAGAAATCGAAGAATTGAAAAGCCGAAAAATCGAAAAATATACTATAGGATAATACTATACTTCCAAAAATCTCGATATCAAGGATAAAAATCCAACACGGGTTCATAAACTTCAAGTTCAGGCTTATCTTACTTCAAAGACTTAAATATAAATAACATTTAAATAAATTCTTCAAATTTATATTGATGTTTTTCGAAAAATCTGTATGCTTAGGGTAAAAACTCAACACGGATTCATAAATCACATGTATAGGAATATGTTATTTTATAAAATCTATATGATATTCTAGACAGATAGACGGAAACGGGAGACCTATTTTGTCGTACTGTATGAGGAACCATCGAGGAAACATGAAAGTAGTCAACCGCCTGATGGACTCTCGTTTACAATACTTTCTAGCTTATATTCGAAAAGTAAAAAGAAACGAAAGACCCCCATAATTGTTTCAAAGCAGAGGTCTCAAAACTTTTTCAAATTTTTTCAGAAATAAGAAAAAAATATATTTCACATACTTAAATCACAAATAAAAGATTATGCCACTCTATACATTTCAATCAAGAACACTAAAAATTTTATAAAATAATGTGCTTGTGGTATGAATTTGCCTTTGAGGAGACAAGATTAATCAAATTTTATTTTCTTTTGCTTTTATTTTATTATTCATCATGTATGTCATGTTGCAGCAGCACAACGATGTATAACGTTCGCTTAGAGATATTTTTTGCATTTAATACCCCACGTGCATCGAAACTATTACGTATAATTTAAAATGATTGATTTTCCTGTGAATACGCTGCAAGAATATCAAAGGTCAGATTATTATGTTAATTTTCCAGAGAAACTTGACAGTTTAAGGTAATGAATTTACAATACACCTTACAATATCTATTACCTAAATGATTTATGGAGCACTCGATGCACTGTTGCACATGGTGTAATCTACCTAAATTAATTTGCCTCACTTTAGAATAACAACACCCTAATTACGATCATCACCGAAATATTCATCTCTTGTCGAAAATTTATCCGCCGTGTTGCGAAATTACAGCAAGCTTATGTTTTGTTCGAACATTCACAACCCCGTTTTGGGTTCGTTATGGACGAACCACGAGTAATATTTTGAAATTCTGTTTCATACAGGATTAGTTCTCTATTTTTGATAATGCAGAAACGTAAATAGAGGACCCACTCTACACCGAAGTAGAAAGTTGGCGGTTTTAAAGAAGATCAGAGTCGTTTCACGGCTACAACTTAATTCAAGTAATTCTCGCAGAAGGAAGTTTTTATGTAAATCCCTAATCAAATTTCACACCTGTCTCGAGCGCTTATTTATTAAAAATCTGTTCCCGTTTTACGATAAAAGTTGTAAGCGAAGTTGGCGTCGTAGAATGCGGAGCGGCGTGTTTACATGCACACTACAAAAACGATCCAAAGTTCGGTAGTGGAATTTAGTTTACATCACGATACGTAAGCACATGTGAAAGTACAATGGGTGTACGATGGAATAATTTTCGTCATTCTCGAGAAACTTGAGCCAAAGTTTGTGGATGTTTGTCAGATGCTTGCCATAAGACACCTCGAGAAATTGCTCTATCTCATTAATGCTGTAATAAGGGCACATAAACGAGTGTATAAAACACAGAGATAAGGTTACGCATTATTAAATAAGCTCTTTATTTATAATTAGGCTTTATGAAAATTGCGAAATTACGGCAAACGCATTTTGAGTAGGGCGAAACGAGACAGCGGTTAGAAAAGTTTTTAATACACATTTATTTACAAAAATGAATGATACAAATAAAAAACTTATCATGGGGTATTATTTACAACATTAAAACTCGAGTATAGTAATAATCTTAAAGACCTAGCCTTACATTTACAAAATAATAGTCTTTTTGCATTGTATTTACAAAATAATACACAATAAAATTATTTAATATTCTCTAGTCGGCTTTTAATCATCTTGTGAGATCATTTGAAACGAAGAAAACTTTGAGCGTGACACTTTTCGAAAATAGCACGTGAAAACACAAGAGAACCAAGTCGTCGTAGCGCATCGAGTTACTTTTCTTTGGCACATTTTCTCTACAAAATAATCTCGTCGTCCATAAAAAAATAAAAGCACGTTAAAAAGTGGCAAATGGGCTTATTTACCAGTCTTTAAGGCACGTCGATGAAAGGTAACACGATGCGCCACCTCCACAAACCTAAATCAAACAATACGATAACAGTACACAACAAATACTTATTGCAATCATAATCACATTTCTTTAAAATTCGTCTTTTTAAAAAGTTTGTTAGTCCACATTTGGCTTTCAAATGGCAAAATTTGTGACACGAAATGGCAGTTAAAAACGGTCCACATGCACACACACAAACATTTAAAACACTAATATTGTGAAGAATAATAACGTGATTTCAGGTACTCAAGACGATAATTATTTTCGAAACATAAAAATAGGGAATTTACAAACTCTGCTGATACGCGGGAAGCACAAAAAAAGTCTCAAACGGGGAACGAAAACAACACTTAGACAATTATCTCGCGAATTATTCTTCTTGTCCGGGAATTAGGGGTGGAATATCCACTTTCTAAACTTTCCTCATAACTGAGTGACATGTGTTGAGGCGGCTTCTCGTCCTCCATTTGCTCCAAATATGGATCCGGGAGGCCGCTGACGTCGTGATATGGAGAGTCTGCAAAGAAAAGACGGATTTGACAAATAATTCATACACAATATTTGGCGAATTGTACAAGGAGTATAACAAAGAAACGAGGGGCGGCGAACGCTGCGAAATTCTACTGTGAATACCGACAACGAACAAAAACGTCAAGTATCTCATTTGAGTGAGCTGCCGCTGTGGAAAGTACCAATAAAATCCATATTCAAACCAATATGAATGCACAGTGGGATCAAGCATCGAGGACGGAGTACCGATGTCTGTATTTGTCACACTCGGAAATGTTGCGTTTATTATGGGTTTATACTAGTTGGAACCGATATTGGCTCTAATACGGCTCTGCCGGAACGAATAACTCAATCGATTGCCTAAAATTAGTATTAAATTTGAATTGGAATCAAGTTCGTAGCCCACGTACATTCTGCATCCCAATCAACAACAAAAAAGTGCCATTTTCGGTTAAATCCAGTCCACGAAAAAAGTCTCCATTAAAATTCTGTATTACAGACAAAATCTAATAATAACATATGACAACAAGGTTGACTGCGTAAAAATAATGCCCTAAATGAAATTTATTTGTTCTCACAATAAGTTTTTTTTTAAGTAGACGGAAATGTGTCACATTAGTGCTCGGCACATGTCATTAAAAAAAGCTTTTACCGTCTGCCGAAGTTTCTTTTGCATGTGTTTCAACTGAATTATTGATTACATTGAATAACAAATGTTAATAGATTTTTTTGGTTTTCCGGAAAATCACGAGCTTTTCAGAAAATCCAATTTCCGTTTAGATTAAAAGGATTATTACACTGCAGGTAGAGCATGCTGTCCTCAATTCAAGTAACTCTGTGGTGACGTCATCATTTTTTACATAAGGTTACTAGGCAAAATTTTGTAATGACGTCATCACGGGATCTTAAAATGTGTCTGAAATTTTACAATAGTTTGTTCGATAGTGGGGGAGTTTCTGTCTAATAGGATAGTAGAGACAGAGGCGGAAACGGGACCTACTTTTTCGTATTCTAGGAGCTATGTACTTCAAATGTGACGCATCTGACGGATCTGGTAGATCCATATTTTATTTCTGAATTCTTGTAGAATCTAGTGATTCGTCAGATGTATGTTGTGTTGCATTCAAAGTACGACGGGTTCGTGCTCTTATGTGAATCACCCTGTATATAATAAAAATAATAAATTTCTAAAAGATCAAAAATGTTTAATATACACAAAACTTTAAAAATATGTAATTTTTTTACATGAAAATAGCGTGGTAATTAAAAAAAATTGCTAGATGGTTATTTCGACAGAACTTTCCTCGCCGTTAAAGTACAACTTCGAAAAATCAAAAAACAAAAAAATCCAAGTCTAAAAACTGGAGAATTAAAAATAATTGAAAAATCGAAGATTCGAAACATCAAAAATTGAAAAGTGGAAATATTTACAATTCGTGTATTGAAATTTGAAAACCCGAGAAGCCAAAAATCGAAATTGAAAAAATTGAAAATTCGAAATTCGAAAAATAAAACATTTAATGAATCAAATATTGGCAAAAACGTAAATCCAAAAAATCGGAACACCGAAAATTTGAAAAGTTCGAAAGTCAAGACTTCGAAAAATCGACGACTCGAGAAATAAAAAAATTGAAAAAACGAAAAATCCAAGAATGTAAAAACTGAAAAATCGAAAATTCTAGTACCGAAAATCGAATACTCGAGAAATCAAAAAATCGAAAAGTAAAAAAATTGAAAAGTCTAAAAACTAAGGAATGCAAAAATAGCCAAATGGAAAATTTGAAAAATCGAAAATTAGAAACTGTAAATAAACATCGAAAATGAAAAAACTAAAAAATCAAAAGTTCGAAAATCAAGACTTCGAAAAATCGAAAAATCCAAGAATTGAAATATAGAAAAAGTCGAAAAATTGAAAATTCGATAAATCGAGAACTCGAGAAATCAAAAAATTGAAAAGTACAGAAATCAAAATTAAAAAATTGAAAATTCGAATACCGAATAATCGAAAAACTGAAAAATCAAGAAATGGACAAGAAAACAAAATGAAAATCCATAAGAGCGGAAATTCGATAAGTTGAAAACCGAAAAATCACAAGTTCGAAAAACAAGACTTCGAAAACTCGAAAAAATCCAAGAATCCAGATATACAAAAAGTCGAAAAATTGAAAATTCTAAAATCGAAAAATCGAGGACTGAAAAAAATAAAAAAATCGAAAATTAAAAAATTGAAAAATCGAAAATCTACAGAATGGAAAAACTGAAAATTCGAGAAATCGAAAAGCAAAAGTTGAAGAGTCTAAAAACAGAAGAATGTAAAAATTGAAAAATCGAGTATCGAAAATCAAAAACCCGAGAAATCAGAACGAAAAAACAAAAAATCGGAAAACCGAAAATTTGAAACTGTAAAAATGTCGGAAATCGAAAAATCGAAAAATCAAAAGTTCAATCAAATCGTAGAATCGAAATATGGAAAAAGCCGAAAAATTGAAAATTCGAAAAATCAAGGACTTGAGGAATCAAAAAATCGAAAATTAAAAAAATTGAAAATCGAAAAATGAAGAATGGAAAAATTGAAAATTCGAATATTGAAAACCGAAAACTCGAGAAATCAACAAGTAATAAAAATTGAAGTCTTGAAACTGAGAAAAAACTCAAAAATCGAAAAAATCCAAGAACCGAAAAATAGAAAAAACAAAGTATCCAAACTTTAAAAAACGGAAAGTGGAAAAATTGATAGATCGAGAAACCGAAGTTAAAAAATTGGAAACTCGAATATCGAAAATTCCAAAAATGGGAAAATCGAAAATTGAAAATTTGAAAAATCGACAATCCGAAATGTCGAAAAATTCGAAATATTGAGAAATAAAAAAAAAAATAAAAAATTTGAAAAACTGAAAAATCCAAAAATTAAAATACAACAACAATCGGAGAATTCAAAAATTGAGAATCCGAAAATGGAAAAAGAAACAAATTAAAAATTCTGATGTCGAAAAATCGGAAATTTGATGAATCAAATACTAAAACGAAAATTCAAAAAATCGTCAAACCGAAAAAACAAAAATTCTAAAATCAAGGTTTCGAAAAAAATCTAAGAATCGAAATATGGAAAATCGAATTATCGAAAGTCGAAAAATTGAAAATTCTAAAATCAAAAAATGGAGAATTGAAAAATCGAGAAATCGAAATTAAAACAAATTCAAATTCGAATATCGAAAATTGACAAGTGACAAAAATTGAAAAGTCAAAAAGTCTAAAATTTCGAATGAAAAAACCCAAAAAAATGGAAAAATTGAAAAATAGAGAAATCCAAATTAAAAAATTTGAAAACTCAAAACATCGGAAAATCGAAAACTCGAGAAATCAAAAAATTTAAAAATCTAATTGAAGAATGGAAAAATTGCCAATTCGAAAATATGAAAATCGAAAAAATCGAATAACCGAAAACTTGAAACTGTAAACGTCGAAAATCGAAAAAAGTGATAGATCGAGAAATCGTTAAAGTTAGAAAATTGAAAACTCAAATTTCGAAAAATGGGAAAATCGAAAATTGAGAATTTCGAAAATTGAAAAATCGACAATACGAAATGTCGAAAAATTCGAAATATTGAAAAATCCAAAAAAAAAAAAATAAAAACAAAAAATTTGAAAAATCGAAGAATTCAAAAGTTAAGAAATCCGAAAATGGAACAAGAATCAAATTAAAAATACTAAAACGAAAATCCAAAAAATCGTCAAACCGAAAAAACAAAAATTCGCAAATCAAGATTTCGCTAAATCAAAAAAAATCCAAGAATCGAAATATAGAAAAAACGAATTATCGAAAGTCGAAAAATTGAAAAATAGAGAAATAGAAATTAAAAATTTGAAAACTCAAATATCGGAAACTCGAAAAACTGGAGAATGGAAAAGTTGAAAAGACTGATCTCGAGTATCGAAAATCGAAAACTCGAGAAATCAAAAAATCGGAAAGTAAAAAAATTTAAAAATCTAATTGAAGAATGGAAAAATTGCCAATTCGAAAATTTGAAAATCAAAAAAAATCGGAAAACCGAAAATTTGAAACTGGAAACATCAAATATTGAAAAATCAAAAGGTCGAAAATGAAGACTTCGAAATATCGAAAAAATCCAAGAATCGAAAAATTGTGAAATTGAAATTTAAAAAATTTAAAACCCAAACATTGAAACATCGAAAAATCGAAAAATCCATTGTCGACAAATCAAGGAATCAAATATTCGAAAAATGCAAAACATAAAACAACGAAAAAAATTTGAAAAATCGATGGATTCAAAAACTGAGAAATCCGAAAATGGAAAAGGAAACGAATTAAAAATTCGAAAATCGAAAAATCGAAAATTCCATGAAAAAAATATTAAAACGAAAATCCAAAAAAATCGAGACAGCAAAAATTGAAAATCCAAAAAACAAAATCTCGAAAATCAAGATTTCAAAAAATGGAAAAAATCCAAGAATTGAAATATAGAAAAATCGAAGATTCTAAAAACAAAAAATGGAGAAATTGAAAAATCGAGCAATCGAAATTAAAAAAATTAAAATTCTAATAACAAAAATTGACAAGTAACAAAAATTGAAAATTTGAAAAATAAAAAATTCAATGGATCAGATTTTCCTAAAATCGAAAAAAATTCAAGAATCGAAAAACAGAAAAAACGAAGTATCGAAAGTCGAAAAAGTGAAAAATAGAGAAATCGAAATTAAAATTTGAAAACTCAAATAACGGAAACTAGAAAAACTGGAGAATCGAAAAATTGAAAAGATTGATCTCGAGTATCGAAAATCGAAAATTTGGAAATCCAAAAAATTGGAAAACCGAAAACTTGAAACTGGAAACTTCGAATCTTGAAAAATCAAAACTTCGAAAATGAAGAAGAAATATCGCAAAAATCCAAGAATCGAAAAATAGTAAAAACAAAGTATCGAAAGTCGAAAAATGGAAATATTGAAAAATAGAGGAATTAAAATTTAAAAAATTTAAAACTCAAACATCGAAAAATCAAGGAATCAAATATTCGAAAAATGCAAAAAATAAAACAACGAACAAAATTTGAAAAATCGCTGAATTCAAAAATTGAGAAATCCGAAAATGGAAAAGGAAATGAATTAAAAATTCGAACATCGAAAATTCCCTGAATCAAATATTAAAACGAAAATCCAAAAAATCGAAACAGCATATATCGAAAATCCAAAAAAAAAAAACAAAAATTCGAAAATCAAGATTTCAAAAAATGGAAAAATTGATAAATGGGGAAATAGAAATTAAAATAATTGAATATTCTCATATCGAAAATTCGAAGATTTGTTGAATGAAATATTAGTAAAATCGAAAATTGAGAAATTGAATAAGCGAAAAGTAAGATAATTGAATATTCTAAAAAAAAAAAAAAAAACGAAAATCGGAAAATATTCCAAAAATTTACAAAACGTTTAATCAACTATTTGAAAAATTGAAAATAAACAAATCGAAAATCGAAAAAACAAAAACTAGACAAATCGAAAATGATACAAGAAAATGTAATTCCATAAAATTTACGGAAAAATTGTAAAATTACGTAAACAACGTTTTTTGGGGAGGACATAACCGAATAAATTTTGATTAACGATTTACCATTCCTATGATAATCTTAAGAAATTTGCAACATTTCAGAACATTCGGTTTTTCAGTTTCAAAGTGAAATTTTATCATGAATCCAGATTTTTAGGACAAAAAAACAAAGCTATTGCTTACGTTCGAAAAGTAAAAATGAATACAGTTTTTAACGATAGGAAAAAATCGGCGATTTCGCTAAAGTCCAGTTTCGTTAAAAATCGTAATGTTGGAACTGATGTTCGACAAGAAAATGCTTCCTTTGTCCGTTCCTCTTCAATGTTCATTTCTGTTAAACTTGGAGTGGGCGCAAATTTGACCATCGTGGATCTTTCCAGATTCTTTATGGCGAATTTGAGCGAAATTAAACTCTTGAAGTTATCGTTTGAATATGAGGGTGAAGAATGAGTTTCGAACTGGAAAAAGCAACTTGGAATCTCAACTTCGCTTGTCTCCTCACCCCCATCGATAAACTAAGCCGATAAATAGCGAAACAAGTACCCAACTGGCCGTCAGTCTGCCCCCGTGCGTTTAATCACGGAGAAAGGCAGCTCTGAACATTTAAAGACCTCTCCCACGATTATGGCCGGCAAGACACACAACGCTTTCGGTATTATGAGGGCAATTTTTCTGAGAACTTGTATCTTCAATTATTAATGTAATAACAACACCGCTTATGCTTTACGACGACGAAGACATCTCCAAAACGTATTACGTAAAAAGTGTTTTATACTCACCAATATGTTGGTCGATTCTCTTCTTGGGCTTATGTACGGCGGCGTACGGATCGCTGCAATAATCTTGCCTGGACGGATTGTTGCTGTTTCTCATGTAGTCGTCTCCGTGATTGCTCTGCGTCGTAATATGCGGATAGGGGGCATAATCGTCAACTGCCCCATAACCTCCATGGGTTATAGGATCATATCCGTACGAATTCTGCCTATCAACATTGATATGATGAGGTTGAAGTTGATTGGTCGAGTTGGTGGACGCTGCGGCCATTTTCATCTGCCACAACGAGTCTTGGGAATTAACGCTGCCCCCGTTATTAGAATTTGAATAACTGTTTTCCAAATAGCCCATGTTGGCCCCTGCAACGAACGCGTTAGTCGAGCCCGGAGCGATCCGGTCGTTCCCGCAACTCCCAGATTTTGGATTTCATTGATATCATTCGACGGTTAGTAAAATATGTAGGAGGGAGTTTCGACCCCAACGAAACCCCAATTCTGGGAGAAGTCTGGAACGACCCGACAAATAAACTTACAGTCGTTGTTGGCGATATTCTGCCGACTCTGTATGTCCGGGTTGGCCACGTGATACCCATAACCGTTCTGCGTGGCGTAAACGTTCTTCTGGTCTTCCATGGCCAGCGCCAGGTCCAGGGAGTGTTCCAGGGCCTTGTTTTCCATCCCGGTTGATGGGTAATACGGGGGCGGGGCTTGGTTCTGCTGCGGGATTATCGTCGGTCTCACCGAATCCATTTCGTAGTCCTTGGATTGGGACTTTTTCGACTGATTTCTTTTACATCTGCAGAAGATCAGCAGCAAGCCCACGAACAAGACAAAAACGATGCAGGAAACCACGATGGCAATCAATGTCGGGGTGGCAAGAGCCGGCGCCTCGCGGAAGTAGGATGATCCCACTGCAATAGGATTTACGTTAAAAAATTTAGGATAACATTTCGGCGGCAGTTAAGTACAAGATTTAATCCCCTGCGACCCGACTTGCGAAAGTCAGTGGATGCGAGCGAATCAAACGATGCTTATAAACAATACAGGGGAACCTCGCCCCGATTCCTTCTTTATCTGCATGCAGTAACTTTTTGTAGACGGCTGGGGAATTCGAGACGGGCCCCGATTAAAAAATTATTAAAAGTGGAAGAGGATTTTTATAATCGGCTCAGAGATAACGACAAACTTTAAACACCACTCGATTTGAAATTATCTGAGTCGCACGTTTGTAATTAAGCTCACTGACGACGCAAGGCGGCAAATACCTGCTTTCGTAGCAACAGTCTTAAGAAAGGTGTGCGGCACACCGCTTCCGATGACGCTGCAGAAACCATCTACGGCTCTAAATGTCAAAAAATCTTTAATTCATGTCGCATGTGCTTGCTTTAAAATCAATACAAGCTCATTATTACATGTAAATTAACCTGCATGTACAATGTCAGTTCAGCGGACACATTTGAATCAGACAAATCTACCTCCAGAGGCGGCTCGTGAGTCGAGAAATTGGGAAAACAAGACACAAAATGCTCCAATATCTACAAAAATTATATTGTTGTGTTTGCGTTTTTAGGATTTTTTTTGCAAAAAATGAAATTTTATGTCAAGTCAAAAAATAGTTTATTCTATGTAGCAGGTGAGGCTCTATTATTATTTTTATTATTTCTGACGGATATATTTATAGACATTTTTTTTATAATTTAAAAATAAATGTGAAAAAATATTGTAACTCAAAAATTCGGAAAGTAAAAAAAAACTGAAAATTCGAATATCGAAAAATCGACAAGTAACAGAAATTGAAAAATCGACGAATCAAATTATCGAAGAAACGAAAAATCCAAGAATTGAAAATTCGAGACTAAACATTGAAAATCGAAAAACCGAAAAATCAAAAGTTCGAAAATCAAGTCTTCGAATAGTCAAAAAAAATCCAAGAATCGAAATATAGAAAATGAGAAAAAAATTGAAAATCCGAAAAATTAAAAAATCAAAAATTCGAAATTTCGAAAATTTAAAATTTGCAAAATCAAAAGTTCGAAAAATAAAGTCAAAGAATCGAGGATTCGATGAATGAAATACTAGAAAAAGCGAAAATAATAAAAACAAAAATTTGGAAAACAGCGAAGTCGAAAAATTAAAAAAGCGAAAAGGAAGATGATTGAAAATTCGAAATCAAAAAATCGAAAATCGGAAATCTGGAATTCCTAAAAACGAAAAATCGTTTAATGAAACATTCGAAAAATCGAAAACTGGAAAAATCGGCAAGTAACACAAATTGAAAAGTCTAAAAACTGAAGAATGGAAAAATTGATAATTCTAAAATTCGATGAATGAAATTTTCGAAAAATCAAAAAATCCGAGAAGTATGAAAAGTCGAAAAATCGGAAATTAAAAAAAAAGTCGAAAAACTGAAGAATTGAAAAATTGAAAATTCGGGAAATCGAAAAGTAAAACAGTTGAAAAGTCCAAAAAATGAAGAATGTAAAAACTGAAAAATCAAAAATTCAAAAAATCAGAAAACCAAAATGAGACTAAACATTGAAAATCGAAAGCCGAAAAATCCAAAGTTCAAAAAATCAAGTCTTCGAAAAGCAAAAAAAATCCAAGAATCGAAATATGGAAAAAGTCGAAAAATTGAAAATTCTAAAATAAAAAAATGGAAAAATTGAAAAATCGGGAATACAAATTAAAGAAAAATTGAAAATTGGAAAATTTTAAATTTGGAAAATCAAAATTTCGAAAAATAAAGTCAAAGAATCGAGGATTCGATGAATGAAATACTAGAAAAAGCGAAAATAATAAAAACAAAAATTTGGAAAACAGCGAAGTCGAAAAATTGAAAAAGCGAAAAGGAAGATGATTGAAAATTCGAAATCAAAAAATCGAAAATCGGAAATCTGGAATTCCTAAAAACGAAAAATCGTTTAATGAAACATTCGAAAAATCGAAAACTGAAAAAATCGGCAAGTAACAAAAACTGAAAAGTCTAAACTAAAAACTGAAGAATGGAAAAATTGACAAATCTTAAATTCAAATGAATAAAATTTTTGAAAAATCAAAAAATCCAAAAATCGAAATATACAAAACAGAAGTATGAAAAGTCGAAAAATCGGAAATTAAAAAAAATCGAAAACCTGAAGAATTGAAAAATTGAAAATTCGGGAAATCGAAAAGTAAAACAGTTGAAAAGTCCAAAAAATGAAGAATGTAAAAACTGAAAAATCAAAAATTCGGAAAATTAAAACTCGAAAACTGGAGAAATAAAAAAATCGGAAAGTAAAGAAACTAATTGAAGAATGGAAAAATTGCGAAATCGAAAATTTTGATTTGAAATTTTTTGAGTTTCCGGTTTGATTTTTCGATTTTTTAGTTTTTCGTTACTTCACCATTGAGATTTCCAATTTCTACATTCCAAAATTATTCTATTTTTGAATTTTTCGGTTCTTCAATTTCTCATGTCGCAATTTTTTTGAAATTTCAAATTAAAAATTTTACTTTTCAATTTTTCGAATTTTCGGTTTTTTGATTTTTAATTTTTCGTTTCCGCTACTTTTTGATTTGCAATGTTTTGATTTTCCAGTTTAAATTTTTTAATTTTTAGATTTTGCTCTTTTGAATTTTTGGATTTTTCAATATTTCGTTGCTTCACCGTTTAAATTGTTTTTTTCTCTCAATTTTTCGATTTTTTTATTTTTTCGTTTTATTATGGATGTAAGTATCTGCTAAAATAAAACTGATTTTGGCAAAGGAGATATCCTCTAAGAAAAGAGAGGGTGGGTGGGCGGGGCTAGTAGCTGCTAAGATAAGACTGGTTTTGGATAATGAGCTACCCTTTTAGAAAAGAGAGCGTGGGTGGGCGGGGCTAGTACATGCTAAGATAAGGCTGATCTTGGCAAATCACATACCCTCTAAGAAAAGAGAGGGTGGGTGGGCGGGGCTAGTAGGTGCCAAGATAAAACTGATTTTGGCAAATGAGACACCTACTAAGAGAATAGAGGGCGGGTGGGCGGCGCTAGTACCTGCTAAGATAAGGTTGATTTTGGCAGATGACATATTATGTGAGAAAAGAGAAGGTGGATGGGCGGGGCTAGTAGCTGTCAAGATAAGACTGATTTTGGCTAATGAGATACCTTCTAAGAAAAGAGAGGATGGGTGGGCGGGGCTAGTAGCTGCTAAGATAAGACTAATTTTGGATAATGAGCTACCCTTTTAGAAAAGAGAGCGTGAGAGGGCGGGGCTAGTACATGCTAAGATAAGGCTGATTTTGGCAAATCACATACCCTCGAAGAAAAGAGAGGGTGGGTGGGCGGGGCTAGCAGGTGCCAAGATAAAACTGATTTTGGCAAATGAGATACGTACTAAGAGAATAGAGGGCGGGTGGGCGGGGCTAGTACCTGTTAAGATAAGGCTGATTTTGGCAGATGACATATTCTGTGAGAAAAGAGAGGGTGGGTGGGCGGGGCTAGTACCTCCTAAGTTAAGGCTGATTTTGGAAAATCACATACCCTCTAAGAAAAAAGAGGGTGGGTGGGCGGGGCTAGTACCTGTTAAGATAAGGCTGATTTTGGCAAATGTCATATTCGGTAAGAAAATAGAGGGTGAGCGGCTGGAGCTAGTAGCTGCTAAGATGTTTTGAATTTTTGAAAATTTGTTTGAAGTAAACTTGTTCTTTTTGTCCAAAATTTAAAAATGCAAAAACGAAAACTTGATTATTCAGAAGCTAAAACTGAAAAAACTGCAAATCAAAAAATTGAAGACATGAAAATTTGAATTACCGTTTAATTGAAATAAAGGAAAATTAAAATATGTACAAATCGAAAAATCGAAGAAATGAAACATTGAAAACTAAAAAATTTGAAGGCGAAAAATTGTAAAGTCGACAAAAAATAATTCTAAATCGAAAAATTTAAAAGTCGAAGTAACTATAAAAGCGAAAAATTGAAAAATTCAAGAGTTGATAAATAGAAATTTTGAAAAACTTAAAAAGTAAATTCGAAAAATTGTAAAATCTAAAAAAAATTGGAAAATCGAGAAATTGGAAAATCGGAAAACTAAAAATTTGTAAAAACTCAAGAATGGGTGATATTAAAAAATGCCCAGTCAACGCCATATAAATAAATGCGGTGAAGTAATTAAAAATTAATTAGTTAAGAAAAATTTTAATATAAAAATTGATAAATCCAAAAACTGTGAAATCGTGAAAATTTCAGTTTAAACAAATTTAGATTAGAATCTGGGAAAATGAAACATTAAAAAATTGAGAAGTTGAAAAACTTAAAAGCTAAATTAAAAATTGAAATTTCGATTACTTGAAATAAGAAAAAATTAAGATATCTACAAATCGAAAATCTGGGACATCGAAAAATTACAAAACCAAAAAAATCGAAAAATTGTAAAATTCAAAAATTAAAAATTGAAAACTAGAAAACCTAAAATCGGAACACTGTAAAGTCGAAAAACTGAAGAAACAAAAATTCGCAAATGGAAAATATGAAAATCGGAATATTAAAAAATGGGGAAACTGGAAAAATCAAAAACTAAATAAACGATCTAGAAATTGACAAATGTTGATACATAAATCAAAATTTTGAAAAACTGAAAAAAAGGCTTGCAAATCAAAACATTGTACAATTAATAAATGACGTTAAACATGTTTTAAGTTTCTTGTTGTGAAAAGAAGACGATGTATGTTAAGAAAAACAGACGTAAAATATGAGACCCGCCCACCCACCCTTTCTCAATTGTGGTCATTTTTTCTATTGGTCGTGAGTCAGGGGGCGGACCTTAATTGCAAAATCCTTACTTCTTTACAAGAAATTACCATGTGAAACAAATTCTTAAGTCCCACCTATGTCCGCACCGATCTCTATTGTGACAAATTTTTCATTCGTTGTCGGATCAAGCGACGGAGCAT